GCGGTGCTGTCTGTGTCTGCGAAACAGAAATTGAATTCGAGGAGCAGCACGGAAGCGGAATTGATTGGAGCTGACGATGTCATGTCGCCCATGTTGTGGGCAAAGTTGTTCCTTGAAGAGCAGGGGATCGTTGTGAAGGACAACATCCTCATGCAGGACAACAAAAGCACGATCATTCTTGCAGAGAATGGCAAAGGCAGTTCGGGCAAAAGAACTCGGGCTATCAACATTCGTTTCTTTTTTATTCATGACCAGATTGGAAAAGGCAACCTTAGAGTTGTGTACTGCCCAACCTTGGAAATGCGTGGAGATTTTTTCACGAAGCCCCTTCAGGGCAAGCTCTTCCACGAGCACAGGGCTTTCATCATGGGGCATCCACCCCTTGTTTGACTGCCTAATTTATTTTATTCGTTCCACGGTAGCCACTTAGGGCACCGTGCAGGAGTGTGTTGGAGGAAACATACCTGATACCTCTTTACTATTGACTCGTGTATTAATCATCTAGTCCGGTTCGCATGCAAATTCATCATGCAAGTAACCGAGGGAGTTTTAGGTCTAAAGTGTTACGGGGGTCCTTATATCCAATTCAATCACAAGAATTGCTATGCACCACCAGAAAATCCTCACTTTTGCTTTTCAGCTTAATCTAAAACCAAATTACTCCCCAATAAGCTGCAGTATTACTAGCAAACAACAAGTACCAGTAATGCACAGGCAACTGAAAGTTGTCATGAATGGAATGGGACTGGCACGGCGAGCTTCTATGCATACTAGCAGTGGCACTCCGGTCACGGCCATAGACCAATCCTCAGCAGAGTCATTACAATGGCTGAGGATCAGAATCACGCACAAGCAACTAGGCACCCCATCAACGTCTACCAGGGATTCGATTCTCATTTTAGAGCAAAACATACAGTATTCAGCTTCTTAGAGCCTCGAAACCAGCAGTCAGGAAGTTACATATGTCGTCCGACCACTGGTCATCTCTTTCCAGTCATGGACTGAGCTAAACTTGCTTCTTTTGAGGCTCTGACATATTCCCACTGGTCAACTTCCTCTAGACAAGAAATGAGAGCCATGCCTGCATCAGAAAATGGGACTTTCCACAGATTTGAGGGCCGAATTCTCTTTGGTGCACTGATTCCATCCACCATCACAGCAACTCGGCCCTCTTCCAACCCATCCATGCAGACATGACCAATTTTGTTGTTCATTGTGACACCTGAAGGGCTGGTAAGTCCATGGATTATCACCCACAGCCCAGCTATATGCATGGTGCAATTTTCTTGCACCTGAGATTGTCGGATTTGTGCCATCTCCATCGTGAACTCTGAGTATGACTGTAGTTCGGATCTATCAGTTTCACTGTCAATGCCTTCGGACAAAATATTGAAGAGTTGATGCTTCCACGAGCTCTTCAGGAGTGCGGTCTTCAGGAACTGCAAGCTCGAATTTCATGTACGCACAAGAGAACCCCTGACTGATAATACCAGAGAGTGTCCATGCCCTAATGCATCTCATTTTAAAAATGGTGATTGGGGCTGTCTCTTCATCTGCTAAGATTGCTGCAAGTGTCAATTTTGTAACTCTCTTGAGCATTCCATCTTGTCGCCACCAGCTCGGCTTTCTAAGCCCCTCGTTGTCCTTCGCAAACTTGTCGGCAAGGAAGAAGATGCTGTTTGCCCACCCCACAAGCGCCACATTTTTCTTTTCATAAAAATTGTCAAGCATGCCTGTTAATCCTGCAACAGCCCAACGTTTGCACGCTTCCATAGAGTATTCAATGGCTTCACTGTCCCTCGAGGATGTCTCAAAGCATCCAGAAAGGTTCTGAAAGGCCTCTGGTCGGCTCGAATCTAGTTTCTGGGCTTCCCGGAGAATCTTTTCGGCACCAGCAATGTCACAAATTGCAACTTTCTTTAGAGCTGCTCCAATCAGTTCATGATAATCCGATTTGGATGCCCAAACTTGATAGCTCTTATTAGATGATGTACGCAAGAAGGCTTCAAGTTTCATTCTTCTTGGTTGGTGCCACTTCTTCGTGCCATTTTTTGTGCTTTGACCAAGATTGCCTAAAGCACTTCTGTGAGCAGACGACTGCAGCCACAAATCCTTCATCGTGACACCGAGGGCACTGCTCAAATCTCTTGCCGTCAGATTCTTCCTTGTTGCACCCCATACAGACATATTTTGCCTTGACATCGGGTGGTCTGGGACTGGGCTGCTCAGCAGCCAGAGGTGCTTTACCTGTGTTCTTGGTTTGCCTCTTCTTTCTTACCATTCTTGTGCTTCTGGTTTGTTGCTTGAAACCAACACAAAGCAACCTTTGCTTTGGCTTGCTTGCCGATGGCTGTTGCTCGCAGCTCCGAGTCGTCGTGGCTATCTGCAATCGAGAATGATATGGGGAATTCCTTGTGGACTCAGACTCGACCGTGATGTTAGAAAGAACAAGATCATGCAGCCCCCCGTACTGGTCCTCAATTTCTTGCCCCTGATCCCACAGAACCTAGTCCTGAATTTCGACTGTTCTTAAGCCTGGCCCCGGCTGGCTTCCGTAGATAATTTCCCCACTCTAAAACCCACGTTAAGCGATCCGTTGGCAAATGCCTCAGATACCTAGAAAAAGATATGGAAGTCAGGGGTTGAGGTATATTTTTATATCTTCTATGTAAGCTTGTGAGGCTGCGAAATAATCAATTTGGTCCCGGTTGCGAGGCTTCTTTGCGCGGCGACAAAGCCGCTGGGCGGGGCTAGCGGTAGCCCTTTTGTTTTATTGTGGCTTCGGAGAAAACCAATTTCCACCTTGGTATTGTATTCCTCTTGAGCACGCCAGCATCATGCATGAGAGAGCCGATCTGGTTTGTACTCTTCAAGCAGCGACATGCAAGTGATCCTGTGGAAGCATTCTGCTATTGTTATACTGAGTAATCGTCTCTGCTGGAATCCTCAGGATCGAACCCAAGGCTCGGGATCGACGTATTGTCATCGCTGACGCTCGATTGGACGTTCGAGCCCGCGATGATCTGCGCGAAGTAGGTTTGCATGAGTCCCTTGCCCTTGGCCAGGATCTTGTCTTCTCTGGGCGTCAACCAACTCGCTTTGCCGGCCAGAGTGATGGCATCGGCGGTGGCCTGGGAAACATGGATCCTGCCTCGGACGCCGTTGCTTTCCATTCTGGAAGCGGTATTGACGGTATCCCCAAACAGCTGAAATCGTCCCTTGTCTCCCCGCAAGACTCCCGCGGTTGTACTTCCCGAATGGAGGCCGACCCTCATTGCTAAATATGAAAGCAAGCGAACGAGCAAGAAAGTATCATAAGCAAGGGATATGCAGTTCAGTGCATATATATATGATCGTTGGCAAGGCCATGCATTCCATGGAACACATGATATTGTATAACTTACCTAACTCGGTCGTATCGGGTCCCAGTCGATCCGCCAGCTCGCGGGTTTTGGCGTTCATGACGGACATGACATCCCTCGCGAAGCGGACCATGATGGTGGCGTGGAGTTTTTGGGGTTCGGGGATCCCTGTCACGGCCACGTAACAGTCTCCGATCGTCTCGACTTTGAATACCTTGCGGCGAATTGCCACCTTGTCAAATGCCCCGTACAGGGCTTCCAGTAGTTCGAAAACCTCTACCGGCGTTCGCTTGGCGCTCCAGGCCGTGAACCCCGCCAAGTCGGCAAAGAAAATCGTCGTGTTGTGGAAGAGATCCGCCATGGGTTTGGAAGGCGCGGCGTCGTTGGTGGCATCGCTGGCGGCAGTTACGGATTGCCCGGTTCCTTGTTTTTCGGCAGCGTTCTTCAAAAACGACCTCAGATTGTTTTCCCTCTGTTTTTCCTCCTTTTGTTCCTGGTACATTTGGGTCAAGACCTTTTTGGGAAAGAGATTGTTGACAATGGCACCGGCCGCCACGGCCTGTTCCTTGACAATTCGCTGGCGTCGCCTTACGACACAATCGTACAGAATAAAGAGGAGGGAAGTGAAGAAAAAGATGTAGACCGCCACCATGGTGTAGTAGACAGGATCGTTGGTAACGTGATGGTCTTGCATGGCTTGGGAGGGGTAAATGGAAATAGAGGGAGGACAATAGGTTTGCGACAAAGGAATGCCGGTGTAAGAGCTTCCGGCATTGGACTGTTTGGTGATCTCCATCGTTTCAAAGAGAGTGTAGGACTTGGCCATGTGATCGTACCTTGGATCGTGAAGGTCTCCCTGTCCCAGATAGGTTGTGGCGGGCCCGTCGAGTTGGTAGGTGAAGGGTTCGGAACAGGGAGTGGAAAAGACCACGAGGATGCCATTGGATCCTTCGGGTAGGATGTTGCGAATGTAATCCCTCCAAAAGAAGGCAAAGTGGAACACGCCAACGAGTGGCTGCGTCTTGGTGAGATCGAGGGTGATGGAGTCTGTGGAATCGTAGATTGGGAATTCCATCGAGCTGAATGGCTCACTGGGGTCCTCCGTAGAGTTGACGGCCATGAATCGCTGGGTGAACGGTACGCGAGTTTGTGCAGGGACGACCGTGGCCCTCTGGTGAGTGATGGCATCCTCACACGCTTTGGCAATGAAGGGGAGTCCCCAAAGATCACCATTGAAGTGCGAACCGGTGACAATAGGGTACTGCTGCCAGCCCACGGTGTAGTTGGTCCTATTGGGCCAAAGACCGGGTGCCACGCCTCGTTCTTTTCCAATGTTGATGGGCCCAACGGTGACGTTGACGGCACTGATCCCCGGATTCACGTCCTGATCGTTCTTTTGGATTTCTCGGCTTTCCTCGATCATCCATTCGGTGTTCGCGGCTGTATAGTTTTCCCACTCTTGCCTGTCGTCCCCTTGCACAAAGGGTCGAACCACGAGAAAGAAGGCCTTGGCGATCTTGCGCAACTTACCCGCTTTGAGGGCAAAGCCAGGCATGGTCACGAACGGCCAGGAACTGTTGGAGTTGCGCGCGTAATAGATCATATCCACCACAAAGGCATCGGACGATCCCATGGTCTGATCCAGCGTCCGTCCCACCGCTTCCGCCACCTTGCGCGAATCGCTGTCGAACTTGCGCTCGAACTCGGCCTCTTCATTATCGGTCAAGAACAGGTACACGGTGACCACCACGGCGATGGCCGAGGCGACCAACACCGCCAACACCACGATCCGCAGCCGTGTAACCCACCGGCTCTCGCGGGCCGCGATGTTGTCCAGGGCTGCCTCCTCTTCTTCTTTCGCGGCGCGTGCCTGTGTGGACATCTGGGAGTACCCCATTTCGTCATCGCTGCCATCGTTCATCATCATTACAGCTTGTTCCTTTGCTTCGCCGCCGTCCATCTTGACAAAAGTCATATCGGCAGTGTTTGTAGTATGGAAAAACTCTTTCAGAGCTTACTTGAACGAGTCGAGTGTCAGTCGAGTCAACAAAATAAATGAAAGAATTATTTGCAAATTTGTGGGTCGAGATCGAGCACCGCTTCTTGGAGGTGTAAATGACCCAGAATGATCAATCGAATCTCACTGTAGATTGGCTGCGCGCGCGGAGAGCTTTCATGCGAATCAATGAGCTCATCAATGTCAAATGCATAACGATTCATCGTTCGTCCAGTACCGGTATTAATACTCCAGTACTAGCTACTGAGTAGTATTTAAAATAGTACAGTACTGAACACAAAGGAGTTACCAGTTTCATTATATTTACGCGAAGCAGGAGCACAGGACAGTGACCTTCCCCGGCATCTCCCCAATATTTGCAAGCTACAGTACTCCAGTGTATTAATAAGTTCGCACACAGTTATAATCTCCCCAATGACTTCGATCGGCTTTGCTGTACATCGTACTATTTATAGTATGTATGCATGTACCGGTATGCATACATGTGGCTCAGTTCTCACGTTCTTACTCGTTCACTCGAGGGCAGAGAAGACTGTGATGTCCGGCATTCTTGTTTCTGGATAGAAGATGTTGACTTACTTGTACCGGTAGGCAAGACGGCTTGCTGCACAAGTGGATCGATTGAGAGGAGACCGGAGGGAGCTCTGGGCACCAATTTCGCGCAAAGGCTTACTTGTAGCTAGCTAGAGCTGGCAGCTGAGCTAGCTAGCTAGATAATGAGGAACAGGGGAGCTGTCAATCTGTCAATGGTGAACATTGGTCGGGACCTCAGTCCCGGATTGGTGCCGGTTACGTAGTACCGAAAGAAAGCTCGAGCTGGGATCTGAGATGCTTTTTCTCTGCCCCGTTTGTGAAGAATTGCCCCTGGTAAGCATGTTACCGCAACAGGACCTTTAGAATCTGGAGAGGCGCGGCACCTCTGTGCCTTCCATAGTAGAGCTACCGTAGCTAGCTAGTTTAAATGTTTGCCTCCAGATCTCACCTCAAGGATTTGCATGGTAGCATAGTGCCGTTGCTCTCAGACAGTACCGTATGTAAGCTCTGGCAGCCGCTGAAGATGCGGTGGATGTGTGTAATACAGTGCCAGTATCTGGATCTTCATTAGAGATAGATGAAGGCTCAGAAGTCTATTGTCATGCTTAGATGACACTAGTCTTGGACTTGCTTTTTGCCTCTCAAACAACTGGAAGAACTATATGCATGGCTGCATCACCCTCGTGACCGGCTAGCCGGGAGAAGGAGATTCGTTGGTCACTTTCAACGTCTTTGGGGTGCATGTCTGGTTGACTGGATATATGCTATCCTTTCCATGGCATGTCTTGGAACATCTATACTGTAGCAGGTAAACTTGTGAGGCTGCGAAATATCTACACTACTCCTGGTATCGAGGTTCTTTTCATGGACAGAGCATCTTGCCGCAAGACCTCGGATGAAGACTACACTCAGCAAATCAAAACCATGGCCATGGACTCTTCTTCCAATCCTCCGTAGAGCATTCAAATTACGAACTGAATCGGACACAACTCACTGAGCATAGACACTGAACATTAACTAAGGATTCTTGTCTTGTCTCTTGGTTAGTTCCTTCAAGGCAATGAATCTCGTATTCTTCCACTGGTCCGCATCATCCAGACAGGATAGGAGCGCCACAGAATGCTCTTTCAGTGGAAGCTCTGCTAGGTTCCTTGGATGAATCATTATGGTGCCACACGACTAAAGCTGGCTTGCAATCCAAAACTTGTAGGACGCTGACAGGAACATCACAACCAACACAGAGAGCGGGAAGGGCTGCAGGGGTACATGTAAGACAAATGCAAGAGCACTAGATATCGACTTCGTTGTAACACTTAAAACTGGCTCAGGCGAAACCTGTCTCATGGAGAGTATGCATATCTCCAAGGCAATGACTCTTGTAATCTTCCATTGGTCCTCATCATTCAGACAGGATAGGAGAGCCACAAAGCACTCTTGCAGTGGAAGCTCCAAAAGGTTCCTTGGATGGATCATTTTGAACTCACTTCTTCCATCAACTTGCACAACAAACTGCCCATTATGTATTCCATCTTTGGAGATTCTGCCCACTAATGTGTTCATGTCAGAGCAAGATGGATTTTTCAGTCCGTGGACGATTACCCAAAGACCTGCCTGGGGCGAAGGATTGACAGTGCTCTCTGCGGCGACATGGCGACTCAAGGCAACATCCAACATGAAATGAGAATGTGATAAAAGCACACTGGCGCCGGGTCCGGAGATTGCATCCCGTCCTCCTATCTCGGATGCATCTTTGAAAAGTTTGGAGGCTTCTCGCAGCTCTTCACAAGTGCGATCATCTGGCACAGCAGCAGAGGTGCAAAAGACCCCACCGCTAACAACACCAGAGAGAGCATATGCCCGGGTCAGTGACATCTCGCGAATCTGGTGAGGTGCTGTCAGGGTCGGAAGCACTATCTTGGTGATTCTTTTGAGCATTCCATCATGACACCACCAAACTGGCTTCACACGATCGTTATGTTCTTTGGTCAAATATCTTTTGGCCAACATATAAATAGTTTGGGACCAGTTGTCAATGGCCCATTCTGGGTGTCGGGATTCGAGTTTGCTATCACCGAGGAAACCCGTCAAGCCGACCATGGCCCACCGCTTACATGCTTCCTCAAAGCATGATACAGCTTGGTGTTCCATTCTTGATTCACTATAGCATGTGCCAAGGTCATAGAAAGCTTCTGGTCTTCTTGTATCCAGCTTTTGGGCTTTACGAAGCAACCGCTTTGCCCCTGCGACATCAGCAGCAGCCAGTTTCTTTGATGCAGCAAAAATGAGTGCATCATAATCACTTGTCTTGGCTAGAGATTGCCATTCCTCGGATTGGACAACTTGAAGAAGGCCATTCAAAGACTCCTTACGCTGTTCGCCTTGTGCTTCCTCCTCGTGAAATTCTTTGTGCTCTGGCCAAGCCTTTTTAAAGCACTTTTGGGAGCAGAAAAGTGCAGGCACGAGGCCTTCTTCCTTGCATCGAGGACACTGCTGGGCGAAGGGCTTGTCCTTGGGTTCTGCCTTGTTGCATCCCCAGCAGACTGCTTCTGGTTTCCAGTAAGTAGGCTTTGTAAATAGGTCTTCCAAATCTCTCCTAAATTCTTGCTTTAGCTCCTCCATCGTGTGTTGTCCCAATCAATGGCGCACTGGCAAGGACAATAGTTACTTACGAAGGAGTACTAGTATCTGGTGGAAGGCTATGGATAGGATCTTGTTGAGTTGTGCCTTGGAGCGTGGATGGAGGTGTTCGATTGATGCCAAAGATAAGAGGAGGTATGCATACACGTGTACTGGTAGTTGGTTCGGAGGCCGTGGCTCCACCAATGCCAACTCTCCAAGCCTCTCTCTCCGAAAAGTTCAAATCGGTATAGGAGCGCGTAGACCGAAGCCAGCGGAAGCTGTTGTGTGTCCGAAAGCCCCTGCTTTTCTTGCAAAGGAGGAGGCTATCAAAGGTCTCAGCACCAAGATCCAACGATATATCGGTTTGGGAACCAAGTCTACCAGCGTTTGCCGGTATCAATCATAGCTGGAGAGAAGGCCTCAGAACGTCTTTTCTTTGGGGGGGGTAGTCTAGTGGCTTGCAATTTCGTTGGATCTGAGAACAGCCATCGCAGGAATTGCAACGTGCGAGCAGTGCTGGGGTTGAATCAATCATGTAGGGATTTGCAGTGCTATAGGGCCAACCCCTGAGGAAAGTCCAGGTCTGGGGCTAAATAATGTTTGGATTAAGGTGCCGGGGCCAACCTTGTGGGCATTGAAGTGCTGGGGCTAGCAAGCATAGTAAGAAACAACCCCAAAGGGAACTCCAGTGCTACGGTTGACAAATGAAAGGATTGCAGTGCTGGGACCAACCCCTTAAAACAAATCACAGTGCTGGGACAAACTTTTGTAGGCATGCCAGTGCTGGGGCTGTAGGAATTGCCGTGCTGGGGGGGAAATTGTGGTTGGAATCCCATTGCTCGGTCTGGCTCGTACACATGCCATCATCATGTACAAGAGGGCCAATCAGTATTGTACTCTTCGAGCAGCGACATGGACAGTACCGGTAAGGGATTCGGTTGAAGCCGCAGATACAGTAGATCCATTCTGGGCCATTGAGACGACGTATATTGACGGCGCGAAGTCTAATAAGTGGATGTGCTGGCTTCAATTTCTCTTGGGTAGTTTGCGACTTGCGACCGACGCCAACCAGAGATCTTGAGGTCTCGTTGTCCATCTTCAGGGATGCCACTGCTAGCTACTGTAGCCGGTATGATAGGATATAGCTGTTCTTGATTCGAGCAGACGACAGAAGAGTTTAACTGAAGCCAAGGCTGGTTCAAGTTCGTTGAGCGAACTGGATGAGGATGGAAAAAGAAAGCATGGAAGCCACATGTCCCGACCATGGTGATTCTACCAAGAAGAAGCAGCAGCTTGCAATTGATCAGACTGAAGTGTTTTACGCCGTGCGAAAAGGCTTGAATGTCCAGTTTTGCATCTTTTTGAGATGGGAAGATTGCAAAGCTCAGATTGAAGGTTGTCAAGATTCAGAGTATTCCAGCTTTGCGGATTGGCAGGAGGCTATTCACTATGTGAAGGTCAAGTCAGGAACTACTCATACAACTACCCATACAGCTACTGCAAGTCCTGATGTTGATGAAGATGTTGAGTCTGATGCTGAAAGATCTCATGATTCTGATGCCAAAGCTGAAACTACGTGTACTACTGATACCCCCAAGTCCAGAAAGAGAAAGAGGACTGTTTTTTTGCAGGGGGCTGTCTCTCCACAGAACACCAATGACATTGACAACACTGAAGCTGAACCTTCAGCTTCAGAAAAATCTACTGCTAGAAGCAAAAAGCAAAAGACTTCCACCAAGATGAACACCACTGAAAAGAAAAAGCAATCCACTGGGACTGCAAAGGCAAAGGCAAAGGCAAAGAACAGCAAACAAACCACGAAGAAGAAATCAAAGAAAACGGATCCACCAAAGACGAAGACAAAGACAAACACAACCTCCAAGAAGGCATCTGCCAGTCGTCACAAGAAATCAGATACTGCGGCTACTACTAATAGTTCTACTGCCAACGGCAACAACAACAACCATAAAACAAGTACCAAAAACGACCGCAATCGTTACTACGAACCCTTGCACAAACTATTATTGGAAGGATACCTCCAATGTAAACCAAAGGCATGGCGACGTGATCAGCTGGGATTGTCCTTTCGAGAACCACACAAACAAACCACACAAACGCGGTATCTTCAAGATCTCATGGAACTACGAGGATTCCTGGCCGCATCTCCCAATGTCGCCTACTTGCAATTGACTCCCGAAAAGCGCAAAACCATCAAGGCACAGTCCGATCATACCATTCTCAATCCACATTCCATACGGTATCTCAATCATGCCTGGGGGGTCAATCGCAAATATCACAATGATCTAGATGACAAACTGCATGCTGCCACATCCACTACGACACCTCCCAAAGATACCACCGCATTTACATCCTGTACCATTGAACATCGACAAGCGGCACGCATGCGATACACCGCCAAGAAATTGTACATTCATCATCGGGTCGAAGCACTCACCAACGAATCGCGGCTCTACAATCTATTTCGTGGGAGGAACAACCAATCCACTACTACTACACGGGAAACAACTAATACGAATATCATGGGAGTTACTACTACGACAAACAACAATAGTGAAAACGAGAATGGCACTGCCAACGACGACAACGACGACAATAAGGAACAACAACTAATAATGACTCCATCAATGGCAGGTCGCGATCAAAAACGAAAATGGCAACATCAAGCGGCACAAGAATGGGATGCCATGACCGAGGCAGAACGAGAACCGTGGATCGAAAAGGAACGATTGCACGATCTCGAACAACCTCATATCAAGGTCAAACTCATGGCGGCCCTCAAGGAGAATCCACAACGACCCACGGCAAAACTCGTCGAAGATATCGATTTTTGGTGTGGGCGAACGACCATTGCCAAGTGGAGACAGACCTATCAATCAATATCCGCACGAGGAGGAACGAAACGAACGATTCGGGCTGCTACGAACAACAAACGGAATCTTGTCCCCCGACAGCGGCAAATAACCAACAATTCCACTAATGCTACTACCCATGCAACACTGCCTGCTGCTCGTCCAGGTGCCGGTGTGAGTCTTCTTCGCCAGGAACACGGTCAACTAAACGTGCCAGGCAACCATCAAGCACCGCAACACGAGCAGGACGATATTGAAAGGCAGCAAGAGGAAGAACCAGATCGGGTTGCTGCTGCTGCGACGCACCGTCAGGCTCAAGAAGCACTGTTGCAGGACGAGGTGCCAGAAGAAGAGACAGAGGAAGACCAGCAGGATGTGACGGCTGCAGCTGCAGCTGCAGCTGGTCATTTACTCGTTGAATTAGTGGAGGGACAGCCCACGACAACGACAACGACACTGCCGGACGTTTACCAGCATGACGACGAGGACGAGGACGACAACGAAGAAGAAGAAGAAGAAAACGAAGAAGACACGAACAACCTCGACGACCTCGAGTCTGCACTGGAAGACAATGACCAAGCTCCTAGCGACGATGACGATGCCAGCAACGTCATGGAATATGTTGGGGACTATGAAAACACGGGTTAGCTTCAGTTGATTGCAACCTCTCTTCTTTCTGTATTTAGGCTTCCATGTATCCTCCAGCGTCTATCTGTAGTCAATGGCTAACTTGCTTCGACCCAGCGTATTGAGAATTGAAAGCCACGGAACGACTATACTACGGTAGCTAGGGACAAGATGATAGCTTCGCTTAGCTTGAGGATGAGACTTACTGGTTCACATCATGGACTTTTCAACCCCCCTCGACTCAGAATCCAACAGTGACGAATTGCATCGTCCTCGAAAGATAATTAGTGGTGTCAAAAACTCTTCTAGAAGTTACATGTAGCTAGAAATACGAAGCTAGAAGATCGCCAAGGACGCTCCGCTGCCTCAGTGATGGCGCATCAGCCACTGTATAGAGACACTGCGAAGTCAATTGGCGAGTCAAACCCAAGCCGCAACTAAAAACCTGTTTAACAGTCAGCTTTTGCGCTGACAATCCCTTCGTCTTCAGGCTCTTGCTCCTCGTCTACCGCATCAACGTCAATATCCACTAGGGCTTCCGATCCTTCTTTCTGTTCCTCGGCTTCTTCGCCGTCTTCCTTTGCAGCCGGCTTTGAATCTTCTTCTGCTTCCTCGCTGGCCGCCGTCTCCTCGGCTGTTACCACTTCCTCTTTTCCCTCCTGTGCCTCTTCCTCGTTTACCTGCTCTTCCTCCTTTGCCTGATCATCCTCCTTGGCCTCGTCGTCGTCAAATGTTTCGTCTGTAGTTTCCGCCAAAATGGTGACGAGGGATGTCTGTGCCCCCAACAATCTCGCAACGGTAGCAGCAGTCGCTTTCGTAACACTTTGCCCATTGACCGACTTGATCCACATCCCAGGACCGAGATCGGACGACGCACAGATGGACTCTGGGACGATGGCCTTGATCAGAACCTTCCCAGAGCGTTGCGTCATGGTGAGTCCCACCTTGGTTTGGGGTGTAGGTTTTTTGACCGCGGCCGTCACATAGAGTCCCTTGGGCACAGGAGGTCGCTCCGCCAAAATGGTGACAGTTCCAGTAGTTGCGGACAGCAAGGCGCCTACATCGAGGGCCTTTAATGTCTGACATGGGACATTGTCCACAGAGAGAAGTTCCTGCAGAATGGTACGTTTAAAAATAATGAGATGAGTCTTGAGCCGCCAAAACAACACATTTAGTCGGCTACATGCCTCTCAAAGAAGACGAAGAAGAAACCTACCATTCCCTTTTCCAAGTTGGAATCCGCCGCCAAACTGCCCTCTGCGATAGTATCCACCACAATCTTGCCATCAGTGTCACGTCGAACCGTAATTCCCAGGTCATCACTGTTTCCCGGACTGCGTTCCAATGTCGCCGTCACGAGGGCCCGTCGTCCCGATTCATTCCAGCCCTTGGACAATCCTGCCACCAGCACGACATTTCCCACGGCTTCGTGCAATAGCTTGGCCACACTTTCGACACTGAGTGCACTGCAAGTACTGTTGTTGATTCGCATAAGTTCCATGCCGACTTGCAAGTTACTGGCCGCCGCCTGCGATCCATCAGTAATACCCGTAATCATGACTTTGGAATTGTTGTTGACGGTGCGAAAACTAATCCCCAACGTTGCGTCTTTGGTTTCCTTGTACAAGACTTCGGTAATGAGTCCGGGTTGCAACATGGGTCGTGCGGCCAAAATGGTGACAAAATCTTCTTCTTCTTCTTCCTCCTCGTCTTTTCCAAGCGACGTGGACGACGACGGAGGCGGTTCGGAAAAGAGGGCTTGAATCCCCGCGGGTGTCAAGAGGGCACATTCCATATTGTTGAGTCGCACGACTTCCATTCCCTTGCGCAACTGGGTGCCACGAAAGAGCCCTGACTTGACACCTTCTTGGGAAATAAACACTCGTCCTTCTTTATAGTCAAACAGCCGATCGGAATCTTGTGGCTTACTCGTAGAGACAGCCGCGGTAATGTATTTGAATGCCGGAATGGCAGCACCATCGGGCGTGACGGCGACAATGGTAATGGTATCTTGCAATGTTGCCAGCATATTGGCCACCTCTTCGGCACTTTTTTCGGTACAATCGACATTATTGACGGATTGAATCAACATGCCCGCGAGTAAATCGGTGGCCAATGTCGCCGCCGCCGATCCTTCGGCAATATTGATAATGGCGACGCGTCCATTGTGCATGCGCATGCGAATTCCAACCTTGGCATCGGGTGTGGCTTTGGTCAGTGTGCCGGTGACAATGGGTGGAATACTCATGGGTGGCGATTGCACTAACAATGTCACGGGTATTCCTCCCCGCGCTTGTTGAATTAAATTCATGGCGACTTCTTCCGGTGCTTGTGATGCCGAAATGAGTTGGTTGTTGATGGCGAGTAAAAACATGCCCGTTTTCAATCCCGACGCCGCGGCCAATCCTCCTTCTTGCAAATGACTAACGACAAGACGTCGTTTGTTGGCGTTGGAGCGTGCCAATTTGAGTCCAAAGGTTTGATCGGGTCGTGCCGGTTGGGTCCAAATGGCGGCCGTGTGCAAACTTGTAATCAAATCGGGCGGTGTCGGACTGGTACCGGCACTTGTCGGCGCTTCGGCAAGAAACGTAACAGTTCCATGAAGTGTCGCGAGATACTGTGATACTTGTTTGTTGTGCATTCCCTTGGGAATGGGCATGCCGTTGACACGATGGAGAATCATGCCCGGTTCTAGTTTTTTGTTGTTCGTGTCGGTAGTACTATCGAGTAATCCACCTTCTCGAATGTACTTGACAATGACGCGTTCGTGTTTGGCGTCCATCCCCAACATGATTCCCAATTTGGAATTGGGCATTGCCTTGACGACAGTGGCGGTGACAATGGTTCCCGGGGGTGCCTGACACGTTTGTTGGGCAAGAATGGTAACCATGCGGGCATTCGCTGCCCGTGTGAGCAAACAATGGGCAATGGTCGGTGTTTCACAGGAAAAATTATTGATGGAGACGACTTTCATTCCAACTCGTAATTTGGATTGAGCAAAAGGACCTTCTGGGTCAATGGAATCAATGAGTACGGCACTGGCATTGATATTGTTGTTGTTGTTGCTGTTGGCACTAATGAATGCGATTCCTGGAGTTTTTCTATTTTCGCGCATAAGCTGTGCCTGGACGGTGCAAGTGACATGATGAGCTTCCGCCTTGGGTGGTCCTCCGGGTTGTTGTGCCAAGAGAGTGAGAGCTCCCACGGAACTGCGGAGTTGTTCAGCCGATTCCTTCTTGTCCACCGCCAGAGTATTATTGATGGAAATGAGTTCCATTTTTTCTTCCAGGCAAGATTGAGCTCCAAATGACTTTGGTACAATTTCACTGATAAAAACTCTTCCAGTCAAATTGAGTTCAGGGCCACTTGATGTACCAGGTGAAGTAGTAGATGTATTGTTGTTGTTGCTGTTGTTGGTCTCTTTGGCTGGCTTGACCTGCACTTTTCCATCGACAATAAAAGTTCCAGATTCTTCATCTTGGCTATTATTATTATGAAGAATATCCTGCATGAGTGCAATTCCCAATTTGGTAGATTCCAATTCTTTCTGCAACACTGCCGTAAGAAGACTTCCAGGAGGAGCTTTTCGTTTGGGTTTGGTAACGGCCAAAAAGGTGATTAACCCCGATGGCGTTTGGACTTGTGGAACTCCCGTTTCGTGGGGATGATCGGGCAATGTCATGGTATCGATATTATTGATACTCAGCAGTACCATACCCACGTGAATTCCAAATGCCGGCAATTCACTGCTGGGAGAAATCGCCACCACTTGCCAATATCCATCGTGTGTCTTGACCAGAGTTAACCCATTCACCAATGACACGGGAATTGTCACCGTTACCAAATCACTACTATTGCTATTGCTAGCATTATTAGCCATGCCAGCATTGGCCCGGCCCAACTTGCTATTCATGGCATTCTGTGCTTGCAGCACGTGAACTGCTCCACTCGCTTGTTGACCAGGAGTCTTCACCATTGTCTTCTTCTCTTCTTACTATTTTAATACTCTTACTATTAACTTGTCTCGTCTCGTCTTGTCTTGTCTTGTATACCTATCTTAGGGTTTGGCTGATGGTATGCCGGTAGTAGTCAACAATGACTGAACAAAAGTAAAAGTGAAAGGATTCGATTCGCTTGTCTCTTTTTCTGAAAATCACCAGGTTGAGGATCAGGGTGGATGTCACAGTGATGTCATTTGCTTACGTGGTCACTGCTTCTTGAGAAAGACAGCAAAGTTGCAATGATTTTACCGATCATCCAACCAGCAAGGGCTCAAGGCCACGACAGTTGACTCGACTCCACTCGACTCCACAGTACTGTAGCAATTACACGGGGCATCGAGATAGCAGTGTCAACATCAAACAAACAAGCAAGGAAGCAATGGAACGAAGCAAAAGGTTCGACGGATCTACTAGCTACCTAGCTACCGTACCGGTACATTCACCTTTTGGAAGGCAAGTTTTTGGAAGGATGCTTGCAGGAAGTAGCTACACTAGTACACAGGCCTACCGTAACGTATAGCCAATAGCTGCCGTAGCACACCTCCCATCCCGCTGATTGAGTTGATGCGTAACACTTCGGCATCGAGTATGCATGCCTGCACACCCCGCAATGATTGCTCCAGGCATTCCGTACCGTACTACAAGATCGCTCGTACATAGCTAACTCCCACCGTAGTAAGCCCCCTGTAGATTGATTCACCAAGCCTGGCCCTCGCAGGCTTTCGTAGATCGTCGATACTGAGTAGCCACTAACTTGCTTACTGCTCCAATCTCCAATCCCATTATTTGTCATTGATTGGCTGAGCTACGGAACACCCTGTTGCGTGCCTTCCAAGTTGACTTACTTGTCGACCATAACAGTTACTAAAACTTACCGAACTGGGGTGTGAGCTTTACTGGCTCTAATGGGGGTTTCGGACCAGGACTACATAATATATGCTGCTGTACAGTCGTACCTGTAATTAGCGAAACAGTATCCCAGTCACACTGTGAATGCCCTTCTTCGGCAGAGCCCACTCCTGATCGAGGTCTTTATTGAGATCGTGTCAATCCATGCAGGTAGATCTCGTAAATGTGTTTTCGTGAGGACATTACGAGAAATAGGATAAAAGGGGTTTAGAGTAGGGAAATTATCTACGGAAGCCAGCCGGGGCCAGGCTTAAGCAAAGAACAGTCGAAATTCAGGACTAGGTTCTGAGGGATCAGGGGCAAGAAATTGAGGACCATTACGGGGGGCAAAGGGTTTGGCTTTGCGGGATCCACGGAGACATAAATGGGTAGCTTTCACAAGGGCAATTGAGAAATAGGTGTTGGTACCTGGCTACAACAACAAGATATTTACCTAAGCTACATATACAGCCATCAATCCTGGGATTCTGAATATTTACGGGTTATAGTTAATGCTTTAGAGATTCCCAACATCTGCGGGTAGACCGCGATGGGATCCAAGAAGTCTTTCAGCGGCAACCAGTATCAGTATACCCACCTGGTAGCCGCATGAAGTTCAATGTACAGTATTGTCCTCTCGGATCGAGTAAGCCATCGCCTATTTGAGCAAGAGTCAATTTGCGTCTGTGCCTTGTTATCGATGTTCAAGATCGCTTCTACCTTGCAGCCATGGTCCTCGTTTCCAATTTGTGGCCAACCGATGCAGCACAGGGTTGAAACATTCAATCAGACTTCCGCCCTTTCGAGGATCAGTACTTCACAGCCGCAGATAAATATTGGTTGAAACACTCAATCAGCCAGTCTAAACTCGGCAACAGTTCCACCCAGTCAGCACACAATATCAGTATACCAATATCATAAAAACCATCTGAACATTTACTATAACCGCATCAGCCATGAAGTCCTTCTCAACCATCCTCCAGGCCCTTGTCCATCATGCCACAGAGAAACCCAACAACATTGTCTTTACATGGGTGGACATCAAGTGCAAAGAACAACGAAACATGACATTCAAACAGCTGGAGGATGAGTCCAATGCTGTTGCTGCCCGTCTCCTCAAGCTTGGATGCAAGAAAGGAGATAGAGTCATGGTGGCTTATCCCTTTGGTCTCGAGTTCTTGGCTGGCATGTTTGGAGCCATGAAGATTGGAGTCATTCCTTGCTCCATCTACCCACCCAATCCCAGTCAGCTCAAAACTGATATGCCCAAGTTCCGTGGATTTGTGGAGGACGCTGGAGCGAAGTATGCTCTCACATCGAACACATTTGCCACTGCCATGACTGCTGCTAGCATCCTTTATAAGACTGGTGTCAAGTGGATTGGGACTGACAAACTACCAATCAAGAAAAGCAATCCAAACAAGCCCAAAGCCTACGAAAAATTCTTGGGACATCCAGAGGATATTTGCTTCATTCAGTACACCTCTGGAAGCACTGGTCGACCCAAAGGAGTCATGATCAATCACCGGAATCTTGTGGAAAATTGCATGGCCATTGGCAACATGTCTAATGTTGATCCTTCAACTGTGGCGGCCCTGTGGGTCCCTCAATACCATGGTAGGATCATTTACTGCTGGCCACTATCTGCATTGAACCACCTTGTTGCTGATGCCTTTGTGTCTTCTTCCTTCTCGCTGCTTAGACATGGGCCTTGTGGCTGGCTTCATGTCGTCCCTCTACAGTGGCATCCATCTTGTCATGGCATCCCCCCTGGACTTTGTTGTCAACCCACTTCTTTGGACTGACATGGTGGAGAAATACCAGGCAAATCTTACCTGTGCCCCCAACTTTGCTTATGCCTTGCTCCTTAAACGTTTGGAGCAGGCCAACCGAAAAGCGGACTGGAGTTGTGTAAAGCGTGCTATGTTTGGGGGAGAACCTGCCCAGAGCCATGTTGTGGAAGCAGTGGTCAAAACCCTCTCCATCAAGCCAGAGCATGTCTACAACATTTACGGCCTTGCGGAGTCTGTCGTGTTTCTTACAGGCGGTTCTGCATTCCCAGACTCTGAGGGGCTTGTCAGTTGTGGTGTAGTAGACTCCCCAACCCTCAAGCTTCGAATTGTTGAGGAGGGAGAAGACGTCGAGGATGGAGCAGTTGGTAGTATCTGGGCCCAGTCACCTTGTGTGGCAGCTGGATACTATGGCCAGCCAGAGCTGACCACATCAACATTTGCCAATGATTTGCTCAACTATGAGGGCACTTGGCTCAATACTGGAGACCTGGGCAAGATTGTGGGTGGGCAGCTCTATGTCACTGGAAGAGTCAAAGATGTGATCATCATTAACGGGAAGAACTACTATCCAACAGATGTGGAGCTCTCTACCGATGATCTCTTTGGTGATGTTATCCGCCCTGGCAGGACCACTGCCTTCCAGCATGGGGATGACAGTGTTGGTATTACTGTGGAGGGTCGCAAAGGGTTTGATAAGTCCGCAAATGAAGACTTGGCTGTCCAAATTGCCAACCATGTATCTCAGGCACATGGGTTGCCTGTCTCTGAGGTTGTGATTCTCAAGCTTGGCGTGACACCCAAGACCACGTCGGGGAAACTCAAGAGAAGTGAGATTCGACAGACAACAATTACTGGGGACTGGAAAGAATCATCTATACTGCTACACTTCAGGCGACAGAAGCCCAGATCTGCATTAGAGAGGAATCAACGATCATCGTTTCTTGAGAGGAGCTTTTCACTGAAAGGTGTTGCTAGCAGGGAGTTTTATCTCAATGAAGAAACGGAGCATGAAATAATGAGGAGGTCAATCAGACTTCCTGCCGGATCCCTTGATTCAACCTTTGAGGAGCAGCTGCATGTTGCTGTTGTGGGAGCTGGAGCTGCTGGCCTTGTCACTGCATTACGATTGGCCCAAAGGAACATCAAGGTTACACTGTTGGAACAGAATGAGCGGATTGGTGGACATGCACGACATGTAGAAGTCTTTGGCCATGAACGTAATCCGGCATTCGGCGTGTTTCTTGCGGACGAGTATCCCAATCTCATCAATCTGGCAAGGGAACTAGGGGTAGAACCAATTCGTTTGGGTCCATCAAACCAAACTCGTGGCATTATCTCCATGACTGATCAGTCGATTCCCACAGTATCAGAATCTGAAATCAGCCGCTTTGTTGCAGAAATGCAGAGAATTCACAATGCTGGCACTGGTCAGAATGAAACAATTGGGCACTTCTTTCACCACAATGGATATGATCACCAATTCATTGTGTACTTCTATGTGGGCAAAATTGTGAGCTTTTTTGCAGGGCAATCGATCCAAGACTATCTCAACATCCCCTTGGAAATTGTTGCTTGGTTTGTTACTGCATTTTCTATCAGCAACAAGGATGTCCTTCGATTGAGCAACAAAAGGTATATGGATGCCTTTCAGTTGGAGTTGAAGAGACTTGGGGTGGAAGTTTGCACAAGTGTGAATCCCAAGATACTTCGGCGTGATGATTCTGGAATAGCAATTTCTACTGGCACATGTGTCGATGAAGTTGTTCTGAATGTTGACAAGGTTGTATTGGCAGTTCCGCCTACTGCTGCTGTCCATGTCCTTGGAGATTCCATGTCACCAGAAGAGAATGTTCTGGCTGATTTTGATTGCCCCTTAGAGACAGTTGTGCTCCATACTGACTCAAAATGGGTTGATATTGAGAGCCCAGGTCACATTATGTTTGCCAACATCCCAGAGTGCTCAAGCTTACCAGATGCTTCTGACACAATCCCAATCACAACATCTTGTTCAAGTGGTAAGTATATTTCAATATTGTTTGGATTGGATCAATTTTGCACCTGACACTCACTTTCAACCCCTATACTGAACCTACTTGCATCAATGCTTCTAGACTCCGATGGCTGCACCCCCATCTATGTCACTCATGCCTATGACACCCATGAAGACCTAGAGTTTAATTCTCCAGTCGAGAAGATGTCATTCACTCACACAAAAATCACATGCAAGGCCTTCCACCTTCGAAAATCTTTGCTGCAGCATCAAGGGAATCATTCCACCTACTATGCCGGTGGGTGGACACGAGGGACAATGCTTCATGAGGATGCACTTGTTAGTGGAATCGTGGCGGCAAATGCTGTCCTTACTGAATTCGGCATGGTGCCACATCCTGTTTCAGAGCGAAAACACCCGATTCCATCTAGCCGGTTGTCTGAAAGAGCAGTCACTGCCAGTGGACACCCAGGCATACAAGATGCCATGCAGGAACCAACAGCAGATGACTTCTCCAAGAGATACGCCAATACAGTTGTTTCTGTTTTTGGATCAGAGGTTGACTTATCCAAGACCTGGACAGAGAATGGCATGACTTCCATCAAGAGTGCTGAACTGAGGAACAAGGTGGAGGAGGAGCTCCGTGCAATTCTTCCAGCCAACTTTGAACAGCTCTACCCAACACCCCAATCACTTTTGGTCTTTTTGGAAGCATCAGAAACCAAAAGCTTTCCAAAGCAAGATAGGGATGATCATCCGGACTTTACTTGGAAATCATCTAGATCCAGGCTCAACAAGCTGGAACTGGGCATACTGCAGACTCTTGCCTCTGTTGCGATTTTCCTCCTAATTGTGGCTTCAGTTGTTCCATCATACTTGCTTGTATCCTGGGTTATGGATCAATGTGGTTCAAACAAGTATGGAGAGTGTCATGGTCCAACCTTTTGGATCTTACTGCCTCTCTCCTTTCCCCTGTACATTCTGTCACTTTCAGTGGCTGTTGTGATCTGCAAGTATGCCATTGTTGGGGCATACCAGCATGGACAGCTGGACCTTTTGTCATGGGGCTACCTCCGTTGGTGGTTCATGGACAGACTTGTGGAGGTTTGGGAGTCTCTAGTAGGACAGTTTGTTGTGGAGACAAGACACATTTGGATCTTCTACTGGCTGCTTGGAGCAGATTTGGCTTGGTCTGCCAAGGTTGAAGCCTACATCCGAGAATTTGATCTTGTCAAAGTTGGCAGCAATGCCACTATCGGACACTCTCTGAAGTGCAGGAAATTTTCTATGTCTTCAGATGGAAGTCCCAAGTTGACCTTCCGACCACTTGTTATTGGAAAGAGCTCTTCCATCTCAGGAATGGTCAGTCCCGGGGCCAAGATTGGAGATTGCAGCAAAGTGGTAAAATTGTCAGTAGTGGAGGATGGTGCCCAAGTGCCAGATGGCGTTCTGGCAAGAGGAAACCCAGCGTTTCATGCTGGCTTGTTTGAGGTGTCTGATGCAGAGTCCTGGAAGACATTCATTCTGGATGGTTTCAAGATTGTTTGGACAACTGTTGAGGCCTACCACTTCTTTTCACTGTCCTACGTGGTCCATTTTGCACTGAATGAGATATTGCCATCCTGGCGGTATGGTGGGATTCTTCATTGGATCCTGCTATTTCCCTTCACTTCGTTCCTTGCCCTCCTCACGAGCATTGCTCTCAAATGGCTACTGATTGGGAAACGGGACCCATCAGATGAATACGAAGGGTCGCTGTGGCGAGAGGCTACCAATTGGGCATGTGACTTCCACTTCCGTACAGCATGTTGGTCCTTTATTCCATTTTTTGGGCAGTCAAGAATATGGAACATTATTCTTTTCCTCCATGGCCTCGATGTTGACATGTCATCGGCTCTCAGTGGTCCATACTTCTACTTCCTGCCTTCCAAGGTCGATTTTGTGAAGATTCGGAATTCATTTCTTGCCAGCATGACACTGGACTTCAACAAGACAGCAGACTCTAAGATTGAGATCATCAACAGCAGTATTGGATTTGGTGTCAATCTACATGCTGGGGTCAAGATTATGCAGTCCTCTATTCCACCAAGATCAGACGTTTCTGACAGCATCTTTGATTTAAACCAAATCCGGGCAAAGAAGGCAGCCATTTTAACAGAAGAAGTTGGCCTGCAGCTCATGAATGTTGTCTTTTTTGCTTCTATCATTCCATCATATGAGATTGGTCTTGCAGCTACAACAAGCTCATCAGCTGGGATTGCTGCATTTGGTTTGGCTGTTGCTGTTCTGGTGCTGTTCTTTGTTTGGATTCTTTCGGCCAGGATTGTCGAGGGGGTTCTTTTGAATCTCCCACACCAAGCCCAACAAGATCTTTTTGGAGTCTACCTCAACCATGTCTGGTACTTTCGTGTGGGCAACATCTTGGAGATGCTGCTTTATGGAACCCCAATGTTTGCCTACTATGCACGATTCATGGGTGCTGAGGTTGATGGGGATCTTTGGTACTTTGGCTTTGCCATTTATGAGTATGGGAAGATGCACTTTCAGGGCAACACAATTGTGGATAGCTCCAGCTTGAATTGTCACTACATGGATCAAAGTGGGATTACAATGGATGACACCTATGTATCTGGTATCATTCATCCAGGGTGCTTTGCTGTTGCTGGATCAGTCATCACAGGAGAAGACAATGGTCCTTGGAAAGTATTCCTAAGCAGTGTCGGTGGCAAAGAATCCTCTCCCAATGAAATTTCTCTGGTTCCGGGGAGCAACGATACCTCCGGTGATCTGTCTGTGTCTGCTAGCGTTGATGGAAATGGCCCCTTGCAATCACTCTTTCCCTTGTTGTCTAAAGACACATCTTTTAAGGCAACTTGTGCCCTGAAATTGGGTATGCCAGCACCAAGCTTTGAACTACCCAACAGTCAAGGAGAGGGAACAACATCTCTTCAAGGTCTGGTTGAGAGTGGTAGATGGACAGTCCTCTATTTTTATCCAGGTGCCTTTACATCTGGTTGCACCTTGCAGGCCCACTACTTTCAACGGGACATTGACCAGTACCGACACCTAAATGCTCAGATTGTTGGTGTATCTGTTGATTCTGTTGAAAAGAACAAGGCCTTTTGCACTGCACAGAGTCTTGACTTCTTCATGCTCTCAGATCAAGAAGGGTGTGTCTCGCAGGCCTACGGATCAGCAGTGTCCATTCCCAGGTACGCAACCATTAGCAATCGCCAAACCTACCTCATTGATCCTCAGGGTAGATTACGCTGGATCTTTCTTGATTTTGAAAGCCGTATCGCAAGCCACTCCAAAGAAGTTTTGAGCAAACTACAAGAACTGAAGTCAACAGACAGCATTTGCTGATGCAACAAAGTTTGCTGGTCGCAGGTACTACTGCTGGTATCTGTCTTTGTCTGAAAAGTTTTAATGTCTAAAATTAGATAGAAATTGCTTGATCTTTTCCCAAAGCACCCTTGTTCTTGCCGGTGACGATGGATCTGTCTGAATTGGCCGATATGGGGCTAGCTTTCTTGACAGTGTTGTTGTGGCCGCAACGCTTCTTCCCGTGGCGTTGTTGTTTTGCGGTGTCGGTGCATCCATTATTAAGGTCGTCATGGGGCGTTGGCAACTTGTCCGCGAAAATAATATCGAGTTGGCATGCTTGTTTTTGGGCACTTTGGGAGCTCCGTGGTCCTTGCCTCCGATTTCTTTGTCGATGTCATTTCTGCAGTTATGGACAACGCGTCGTATCGCGACAGGTTGGAGTACGTGTATCCGGTAGTGGTGTCGTTGTGTGGGCGTCCTTTGAGGCATTGCCGCTGCTGATGCAGATATTGTTGTATACGAGTAGTTGATGTGCGTGTTTGCAAGTGAGATGTCAAAGACCGTTGATTCATCGTTGCTGCTCTTGTCTTTTTGTAGAGTATCGTGGGGTCGTCTCTCGTCATTGTATGTTGGTATTCATCCTCGTCTGGCATTGATGCATGTGGTTGGCGGTTGGCGGCAGCGACATTGACGGTGATCGGTGATACCTGCTTTACAGGTCACGACAGGCTGCTGCAGTTTTTCGTGTTGGGCCATTGCTTGCTGCATTGTTGTTTACCGCTGCCACTGCCGTTGCTGTTTTAATGCCTGTGTTGTTGCCGATGCGAGAGCGCTGTTCGATTTATTGAAGCCGATGCTTGATAGTCACCACCAATAAGCTTACGTCTGAAGCCGTGGCTCGCAAGTTGATAGATCCTACGAATAACACAATGGACAGCAACCATTAGATTCCGTGAAGTTCTCCACTTCATCCGTGGTTTCCGTCCTCAATGCCCCAACGAAAGTCGCCTTCTCTTGATGCCCCATGGGGGAGCTTTGCAACTTGCGTACGGTATGGTCGTATGCGCTGGGTGATCAGTACTACCGGTACCATAGGGAAACCGCCTCGATCTACATGGTTGGTGTGGAACTCTCACGTTTCCTACTTTGTTGACTGCTGCCACTTGCCCTGCTATCTCTGTCTCTGGCTGGTACGGTAGTAGTAGTCATCAATGACTGGAGCAACAATACATGTAGTAAAGTAGGAAGGATCTTCCATGCTTGTCTCTTTTTGAAAATCGCATCACGGTACCAGTTACCAGAACTGGTACCGGTACCAGTACTTGTAAAACAAAGTTTAAAAAGTGCATTTCTGGGGTTCTCGGGAGTTGCACCAGAGCTGCACCAGAAGGTTGATTGGTTAAATCCTTCAAACCAGTTTGGCACAGAGCTTCAACAATGACTTTTTTGATTATTGCCGCTTCCCTCTACGAAGCTTTTTCGTGCTTATCGTACTGTGAATACTCGTAGTACAGAGTTCTCCCTTCCAAAAGCAGAAGAGTAAGTAAAACGTTTGACCTCACATTTTCAAGCGATTTACACCGTCGAGTCATTGAATTTTTCCCTAAGGATTGAAGATCTCGTGTTGCTTGTCAACCACCACGCTAGAGGTACCTGGTAACTCCAGGCGACCACGGAGACACCAAGAGTCCGATTCGAGAGGTTCTAGGCAACACCACTGAAACCGTCGTCATTCATTTAGTCAGTAGGCACATCGCTTTGGATTCTGGAAGCTTTCCAGTGAAGATTCGATTCATTGGCAACAGTAGGCTGGCTCCACCTCCCCGTTCATTGGATTGACGTGTATTCTGGTTCTGCGCAGCAAACCAAGGTGGGGGACGTTTTTCAAAATTTGACACATTCTTCAGGACTGCAAGTAAATTTCGGTCGGGCTGCTACCGGTAGTCCAGGCTGCTGGGAAGCAACAAAACTTTGTTTGTCAAGGTCTGAGCTCTGTACATCGGGAGGGCTCCGGACGCCAGTGCAGCCATTGGACGCGAAACATCCCCTGCCTATCATCAGATATCCCTTATGCCCAGAGACAATCGGCCCCGCCGACGAATTCATGCCAGTCTTTTTGAATGATCAATCCATAGATGTACTGAGAGACAATTCTAGAGAGCAAAACTATATTGTATCTCTGAGCTCAGCGGCAGCCGCTCTACGACAAGTGCGGCCTCATGGAAAAGTTGGGCCATTTTATGATTCGCGTGCTAGCCGGCTAATGCTCATACATGTAGAAAGAACGCATAAGTTGCTCCTCGGACATTGGTGCGTTCTACAGCTGAGTCTGCACTCGCAAGAAATGGCCGCCCGCGGCTTCTACCAACGTACCGTACGTGGCAGGGTTGCATGGATCTCGAAGACTGCGACAAGAGTGCCATGGCCGCACAGCTGTCGATTAATTGAATTCAAAGCAAAAGAGATTCCATTCCATATCGGCATCAGACTGGTTTCATCGTGATGAACGGAACACCAAAAGACCAAAAGCATGCATCGATCGCCAGCGAACCATCCTCCTTCAATCCAGCAATTACTGAAGCACGTTCTTTTGCAAGGGTGCTCTCGATCAGTGGGTGCTTCCAAACCACCGTCGCGACTGCCCATCGAGATATTCTCAAGATGTAGACCGACCCTTTGTATTTGTGGCGTTCTCTTGGAGGTAGATTGCAACACTTGCATATGTATGTACGGTATGTGTATTGCTGTAGAAAGTAGTGACCTCTCCAGCGTCTCTGATCTCAGAGCTCAGGCAGTCTACTGCAGTATCATAGGCAGCACATGGTGCTTAAATCTGTGGTTTGTGGAACTCATTGAACTTTTCTGCACTTAGCCTGGGCATCGAAGGATTCCGTAAATTTACCTGGGCAGTCTATCTGCCTGAGCCCTCTACCCCTTTCCTATTTTAAAGGGGTATAGGGCTCAGGCAGATAGACTGTCGAGGTAATATTCTTTGCCCTTCTGTTGTCTTTTCCCAAAGCTGTTCCATAGTTGAGACATGCTCGTCGCTGCATGGAGGATGGAAAAGAAGAAAGGAAGCGATCATGTTGTACTTGCAAACGGTCCACAGCATGCTCCGCCACGATAAGGTCTAGAACGGATCCAACGATGTAAACAAGGTTCTCACCGAACCATCCGCCATGAAGTTCTCCTCTGCGTAGTCATTGATTCCTTGCTTGCACTCCCAATGAAAGTCGCCCTCTCTCCCACCAAAATCCACCGCTCTCGAGTTGGCCCCTTCCCGTGTTGACACTGGCCATGGTTGGACCTATCATAGCAAATCTGCGGTAAATGCAACTACATTGTCACCCAACGTCCGGTTCTGAGAAGAAGGATGCCCTACCGGTATGGGGGAAGCTTCGTTTTGCAGCTGGTGTACGGTGCGCTGGGTGACCAGCACGGAAAACCGCCAGTACTCGATTGGAACTCTCATGTTTCGTTGTTTAAATTGTTGGCGTTTTGTGGCTACTCCATGGAGGTTTAGGTTCTCTTGCGTACTGCTGTGTGACTTCGAGTTGGTGAACGTGACTGCCATCATGATGTGAAAACTGAGTGCGTTTCTATGCACATCCCTCTTGCCACAGTGGACATTGATAGAATCCGTGAACCTGTTGCGGGATCGCTACTGTATGGAGACAACATTATGGTCGTCTCAGGCGTCCCGAGTTCAAATGCCATTGGGGTTTGGGCATCTGAATGCATGGGTCGACTATAATGGATTTGGTCATTTTCCTTCCACTTCTTGATTGGCTTGATTACCTACATGGGCTGAGCCGTAAACGGGAGCCCAACTATATAGCGATTGGGAATGCGTCCTTGGATGTTTCCTTCAGTGGTGCTCCAGTTGTGTCTGCCACTGCACTACTACCCGTACGCTGCACTACGCTGATAAAAACTAGTACTCTATGGGACAGGGTCCCTTCTAGGATGGCTTGTCTTTTTTGGCATTGCTGAAACACTCAACTTTATGATGGTTCTGCAAGCAGAATACGACATCCCCATGCACCCATGGCGCATGCTTGGTGTTGCTGGTATCTTTGGAGGAGCACTACTCTCTGCCATACGTATATGACTACCTTGTTACATCGTCCTCTATCCATGAGGCTTCAGAGGGCGAATCCTCGAACCTAGGATGAAAGTTTGGCCAGGACAAGGAGACCTACAAACAGTGCCGCAGCTCATGGATACTTTGGCCGCCTTCTCTTCCATTTTTCAAAAGCAAATCTTGTGCCCTCAATTTCTTTTTGGCTGCTTGCTCAGTTGTTGGAACATGGATGGCTGCCATCCTTATCTCCATACCTGGTTGGCGTCGACTTGAATGGGCTGAACTTCAACCGGCCAGACTCTTCATGGAGAAGGACGGTGCGAGAATGGCTTCACGCTTTGGCTAAGGGACGAAGCGATGAACATTGGCGGCGTTGCAGCCGGTGACTTCTCGTACCGGTAGAGTGGATTCACCTCGACCTGCAAAGTAGAGTAGGACATGAGATAGAGAGAGCCAGGGCATGGACTCTCTTCTTGTGGATTTGTGGAGAGCTGATTCCATCACGCAGAAAGCATAGGAAGCTCATTTCACTTGCGCATCTTGCCAATTTTCGTTTCTGTCCAGAGAAGATCCTACAGGTAGGGTTGCCTACAACCTACAACGGCAGGTTGGATGGAGCAGAATTCAGCTAAGCGTCCAAGTCTTTGTACACGCTACTGCTTAAACTATACGGGTAATAATTCAAGCGTCGTTTTATTAGTGTATTTACCATGGCAGCATAAAAGCCATCCATACATCTTTTTGATCTATTCCTTACGCATACGCAGTCGGGCTCCTGCCGCAAACTTGCAAGCATTCTTGACAGCCACCTCGTTCGCTAGATATTTTGCTCGTAGACAAACTCCTCATAGTCCTCTAGCCACTCCGGTTTCTTTCCTTCATTCTTTGGCGGTGCGGGAAACACAGTCCTCTCTGTGGCTACCGCGTTCCTTGCGACCGATGGATTGGTCGACAAAGGCCTTTGCTGGTTCATTGTTCTTCGGGCGTGCGTCAAGCCAGTCCTTCGATATGCGTTCCAGAAAGCGCCCCAACCTGTCATCTTGCTTGCTTTTTCCTGTCTTCGGTTTACTGTGCTGGTGGATCTTTGTCGATAAATTCTGTTGCTGTCGCTTTTGTGGGCGCACGAGGACGGATTTCCATAGAGAGCTCTATAGCTTCTCTTTTGCACCACGCTTCTCGTTGCTTGATGCGAGCTGTTCGCTTGCACTTGAACGTTCGTGAATTGCCTTCTTTGTTCGCATCTTGGGTGTCAAGACGCGTCGCCGCATGCAAACTTGCTCCTTTTGGAGTTCCAGTTCAAGTATACCTTGGCAGTCCTGCGAGCCGGGGACATGCAATACTAGTACTTGGGATAGGCTTGCTCGTAGGACCTGTGTCGGGTGCAGCCTTCATCATCCGCGAATTCTCGATTCTCGTTCTTTGTTCGTGGTCTCTTTCAACTCGTGGTCACTTTCAACTCGTGCTCGACTGCTCAACTCGTACCAACACCAGATTTGGAGTCCACGAGGATCCAAAGATAGATCTTTGAGTCTTTCCCTCTCCCTTCCAGGCCCAGATTGAAGCCCACAAAACAACAACACAAACAAACGAATAGGAAGACAACAACATGAAAATCGTCAATATTTTCTGCACTCTGGCTCTTGTAGCCACAAAGGCTTCGAACCCTTGGCAAGTAGCCGCAGCAGCCACCGGCTACTCGCTGCGTCGTCGTCAGCAGCAGGAGAGTAAACCCGTCACGACTTTTCCGGACGGGATCTGGACAGTTCGAGGATATGGTTGGGTAGTCAACGTCACGAACAATGGAACAGATGTCAACCTGATCGAAGAGACCGAAATCAGCTGCATTCCAAACAATTTGCTCTTGCATTTCTTGGACCTTGATCGGGTTTTGGTCGATGGCGAAGTCGCGCATATGACGGCATCCGCAGCCATTCTCACCAACTTTACTCTCGATCGTACGGATTCATACAGGGGAGGATGTAACAATGGGATTACACCAAATGTGAACAGCAATGGTGACTACGTTGAGGATCCACTCCTTAGCTTTGATATTATGGTTCAAACCTTCGCGGAGCACTTTGCTTTCTTTGACATTCGCAACCTCAACTGGACTGGTCTTGCTGCGGAAGCTCGTGCCACTCTCACTTCCAATTCCACTGAGGAAGAGCTCTGGGAGGCTACAACGGATCTGTTGGAGAAACTTGAAGATCCTCATGTCTCTTTGGTTGCAGCGTCGGGTGAAGCGTTCCGATCTAAGGACTCTGATGAGACCACAACCATGCTCTATGAAGAGTTTGAGCAGCAAAATGAGATTGAAGAATTTGAAGACTACATCAACAGTCAGATTTCCAAGTGGAGGGATGCCGTAGCAACTTACATGGTAGATGGGAAGATGTTTGGTGGAGAGCCTGGTGGAATCGTGTGGGGGAGGTTCCAAAACTGCGATGATGCGGCCAGTGTCGATTTCTCTCGTGTCGATTCATTGGGAGACGTAATCGATGAAATTGACGGCGCCTTGGATGTTTTGGGTTACTGCACACCCAAAAAAGTGGGCTACATGGAAGTCCCAGCCTTTGCGACCGATGACAAAGCAGGGTTCTTTGGGGCGATCGATTCCGCCCTTGAGGACCTGTCCGACACGGATACCCTCGTCTTGGACATTCGTTTGAATCCAGGCGGCTTTGACCCATGGGGGGTTCTCTTGGCATCAAATTTCGCCTCCACTCGGACCCATGCCTTTTCCAAGCGAGCCAGGTATGATCATGACAAGTTCACTTCCTGGCAACGCGTGTACATCGACCCCGATGATTCCCCCAACACGAATTACAGCGGAGATATTATTTTGATTACAAGCGGCCGAACCATTAGTGCTGCTGAAACCTTTACTCTGGCAATGTCCCAACTACCTCATGTGACTATTCTTGGCCGACCCACCATCGGTGCCTTTTCTGACCAGCTCCAAAAGGTCATGCCAAATGGCTGGTTGTTTTCTGTTTCCAACGAAGAATATGCCGCCCCAGACGGATCAATCTACGAAGTTGTAGGCTACCCACCAGATGTGCTCACCGAAACAGTTCTGGCTAGTCGTGCCGATCGAGCCAATGGAACTGACAGTTGGTTGGATCAAGCACTCGAAATGGCGAAAGGACCTGATCCGCTGTTTTCTTCTGCTGCTGATGCTTTTTGTTCCGGCTCTGCCTGGGCTGCCACGTTTGCCATTGCTTTCGTTGGATTGTTGATTTGATCGGCTGATGTCCAAGCAGACTCGATAGATTGTCATTCATTGTAACAAAGAAAGATGTGCCTTGTTTGCTCTATAAAACAAAAAGGCAAGCTGAGAATCACATTCCTCTCCAAATTTGGGAACACTTCCCTCAAACAGTGCTCCCAAACACTTCTCCTGAACACTTTCAGTATTGTATTAGTATTCCTTCTGAAGTATCAGTGGACAGTCTTTTAGTATTTGCAGACAATTTTCGTTGACAATTTTTGTACCCTGAACACCACACCATAATGTACTGCATTGCACCCTACCCCACCGTACCATAAGAATTAAAAGCTTCGGAGATCCAGCATTCAAGGAATGCAATATAAAAACGTTTTGCACGGCATTTTCCGCGGACCTCACCTTTAATTAAAGCCCGCAAAGCGGCTGAAAAATATTGATCGAGTCCAGTGTCAGGTTGCATTATGTAGCGGCAACGGAGCAAGAAAAAGATCGCAAGATCAGACGGCTAGACAGGGGTTTAGAGTACTAGTAGATCGCAAGAGGCGTCTGTCTGAGGTCTGAGAAACATCTTTGTAGTTTACCGGTATAGGGTAGTTGTCTATCTTCTTTGGCAGTATGAAAGGCTGTGCATTCTCTGGGCTTGTTGCGCTGTATGATACTTGTGAACAATGGAAGAAATCAATTACTCATTAGGTGCAAAGCCACCTGATGTCAAAGCACAGAGAGTTTGTTGGGGATGTCAAACCCCAGAAACAGCCAGCAAGCCATTCCAGAAGCAATGTAGCCAGTGTCATGAGGAGGGATTGATTCCAGTACTCTTCTGCTCCAAAATGTGCTACAAGCAGGCATGGCCACAACACAAACAATGGCATGAAGATAATGCATCCAACATCAAGAGGTACGTGGAAATGATGGATATTGGGACTATCGTCCCCGAGAACATTTCCCAACCTGTGGAGGACCCCATGGAGCAGGCACCCGAGTACTATGGAACCATTGCCATCGCCAAATCCAAATTTCAAGCTGGCGAAATTTGCCGTTCCAAAAAGCTCCTCCGTAAAGCCATTAAACTGGATACCAGACGACCAGAAGCATTCGACAAGCTCAGTGTTTGCTATAATTTTTCAGGACAGCGAAATGAAGCCAACTTCTATTTTATGGAAGCATTCAAACGATATGCCTTTGTGGCCTTGACCAATAACTTTGGAAAGGTCCAAGACATCGATCTTTCATTCTATGTATGGTCAGGCGGTGTTTGTTCTCTAGCCAAGAATTACTTTGAGAACTCAGAGTTGAACAAACCGGATTGGTGGCATCACGATGGAATGGTCCAGCGAATCACCAAAATGGCAATCGGTGTACTCAAGGCTGATGTCATGACACTCCCAGACCAGATTGGTATGGTCTATCTTTTGCAAGCATTTGCATTGGCTGGCATTGTCCGTCATTTTCATGCTTCGTTCGATGGTGCAGAAGTTACAATCCCAGAAGATCGCACTCATGAAGAGCTGGTGGAGGCCTATGTGATCTTCAAAAAGGCAACCAAGAACATATATATCACCTCTACAGCTGCCATAGATTCATTTTTTGAGTCTGTAGTGTTGGAAACCATAAGGAAGAGACATGCACAGGCCAAAGAACAAGTGAATAGTCGCATTGCAGAGCCAAGTGTGTGCCAAGCAGGTACATTGGTGGTTGTGGTTGGATTTGACCTTGAAAGTCTTTTGGGTTCTAAGATAAAAGCAGGGATGGTGTCCAGAGATGGGTTGCAGGATGGCAGAGTTGCTGTGAAAGTAGATGGATTCAGCGAGCTCCAGCTGATTCCTCCAGAAAATCTGGTAGCAACTCCATTCAAGGAGAGAGACGTGGCCCTCATTTGCTGTTTGGGGGATGGATACCGGTACAAGTTTTTGAGAAGTTTTACCATTGTATTCCAAGAGGGTATAAACGAAACCTTACTTCCTTTCATCATGGGCCATCGGAAGTTGACTGTGTGGTCAGGAAATTAGAAAAAAGAATCTGAGGACGAGGACCCATTACTGCATTGAATTTGGGTGCATCTCGAAGACAAAGCTTCATTAGTTGTCCTCGCATCCCACCAACAGCCACCCAGAACACAGAAAGTTACATGTACTTGAAAAAGCCCTTGAAAAGCACCACTTCCATATTATCAAGTCTCAAGCAACCCATCCTATCCCTCATCCCGCGTCCCATTACAAGCTACTCGAGCTAGTACCTTCCAGCTTCTCTGTCTATCTACAATATCCAGCACAAGAAAATCCATCCAGGTGATCCTCCTATCATGAGCACAACCATCATGAACTCTGAGCATCCATCCAACTATCTCGACCGCCAGCAACAGCTGGGTGAGCGACACTAATCCGGTGGTGCCAATTGGACCGTACAGAATCGCAAGAAGATAGATTCGACGACACAGTTTTCTACACAATGCACTCCGGGCACGACCCACGGTGTCCCAACGACGACAACGACAGAAGCCACGAAAACGGAATAGTCGGGTGCTGCTTGAGCCGTGCGGTCGCTTGCTGTTTGTGGTGTGCTTGACCCTGGTGGCCGTGGGATTGGCCGCCTTTATAGCTACTCGACGCATGTGCAAGCTAATGCCAAGTGGCCGAGTCGCTCAATACGTCCATGGCAGATTGAGCACTGCTGGAAGGCGTGCGCGTGGTGGAACAAAAGCAACGGACCATTACGTCACTCCCCAAGTCATTCCGGCATTGGAACCTAACAACGTGTATCCCTTCGTGACAAATCTCCAATGACATGAGCAAGTCAGAACTACACGGAGCAAGCAGGAGTCAGTTCCTTTGGGAAGGGAATCTTCCAAATTGTACCGGGAGGAACAAGGTTGCCGGACAATGGCACGTCCTCCTGGGGATCTCATTACACCATCCTCACGCGGGCTTTGGACGTTGAAGCGGGAAAGCATCCCATTCTGCTCTACCGGTACAACGTACACTTGGATCCAAAACGAGGAAGACCCGTTGATCATCTCACTGATTGTGTACTACAGCAGCAACAGCAAGAGAAGAATCCAAAAACCCGAAACCAGTACACCACCATTAGCGAACTCATCATGTCCCACAAGGAAGCTGCCAGGGGACCTTCCTCGGCCATTTGGGCACCCGTGTTCCCGGCCAATGATCCAAACAAGGTACAGTACGCTTCTAATCAATCTCCTCACTCCTACCGTATGGATGGAAGGAGCAGAGTTCTTACTCATGGGCCCGTCTTTCGATTACAGGTCGTGGGGATATCAGGATCACTCACTGTCTGGGAACAACTACTCGAGAATGCATTTGCCAATCAAGTGAGTGGCATTGATTGTGTACTCAAGAGTACTCAACGTGAAGCCTTTGCGTACGCTATTGAACATGGGAAAACAACCGTCAAGTGAGTAGGACACTGCGTACGTACATACATACATGACTCACTAGCTAGAGATGATCGTTGGAACTGCATGGCTCATCTCCTCTCGTTCATTACATTCTTGGTTCCTAGAGGTGACGGTAATTTCCAACAATCGGCTAGGCCGATCAATGGATCTCACCAGCAATCACAACATCCATTGATGCACAACATGATCAATTCTTGCTGTTTGCCCCACAATCCATCGGATACACGCTCTTCTTTTATCCTAATCAGGATCTGTACAAAGCGTACAAGAGCGGGAGTCCATGCACAGGCGCCTTTATCACGGCTGGGGTTGTTGGCATGAAATCTCCGCCTCGTTGGGGTATTCCTCGGCGGATGCACTCCAGAATGAGCTGGAACACGACGACAGTCCGCAACCAAATCATGACGACAATTCAAAGCAAGCAACCAGCATTGGTACGCCCTTTCAGCGTCACACGACGACAACACCAATGTCCTCATCCTCAAAACCCCAACCCGAGAAATGACAGTCGAATGGTTCAATTGATACGGCCAATGACGTGCTCGCCAATACGCAAAAGTGCCGTCGATGTGCTGTCCGATCTATTGAACTACGACAAAATCGAGTCCTCTACTCTGTGAGAGTTGACCAAGATCTCCATTTATTTGGTCGTCATTGAAACTACCACGGAAGAGTTTCGCCGTCTACAAGTAGCCAAACAAGCAGCCGAATAGAAACTACGGTACCACCACGGACAGTTCCAACAGCACTCCCAAGAAGGAATCGATCCCTGCGAATGATATCTTGATGGTGGACGCATTTGGCGACAGCATGGGATCTTGACCGACTAGACTAGACTAGACTAGACTAGACTAGCTTGGAGTCAGTACATGTAGTACGGTACCGTCCGTGCACGAACGATTGTGAGTCGAGTTTCCCGTCAGAGAATGAATGAATCGAATCGAATCGAATCCTTCAGAACCCACATTTTCTGTTGCCAACTCAATTAATTGTCGTGGTGTGGATTGGATTCGATGCGGTTCGGACCTGGTAATTTACACTACAGTCGTACATGTAGACCACTACTGCTCGGTCCTGTACAGTATCCGAAAGGGTGCGTTCTGGGAGTGGCCACCGTGACTTTTTCGTTCTGCTTGCTTTGAGATCCGACCATGGAAGCAATGTGGCACGGGGCAGATGTTTTGCCGTTGGCAATGGTGGCTACATGATGTATGTGTAGATAGACTAGTTTGCAGATGAAAAATAGAAATTAGAAGCATTTAACGATAAAGCTACGGTATCTACTAGTTAGAGCTAGGTTGCAGGCATACGGTACGTGGAGAGTGATTTTGCAGATTGATTCGATTCGATTGATTCCAGAGGTCTTCAATCGCTAGCCATTCGTTGTCTGAAACTGTTTGTTAGTTTGGTGGCTTGATTTGTTGTGTTTATTAAATGGCTGCGAGGATGGAACGATGATTGCTCTCACTTTGAGTGATTCGAATCGAAGGTGTCGCATTGGTAGTAGACGTTGGCTTCCACGTGCCCTTCATCATGGACGAACTGACTACCTTGACACTATGCCGGTTCTTCTTGGATTTGCAGCTTTGCTCGGAAGACGAGTCACTGCTGGAGACAGAGCCAGTTTCGTATCCCGCTTCTTTGTTCAGCATGATGTCATCATGATTGTCATTGTCTTCGATTCGTCGAAAGGGCCCACCCGCTAAGGAGACTTGTTGAAAGTATCCCGGATATCCCTTGGCGGTTCCCACACCGGGAGCAATACAGTCTGGTAAACCTTCGAGTTTCATATATTGGCTGAGGACTTGTAGATAATCCTGTTGCGTTCCAAAAATGATGGATTCTTGAATGTGCTTGTCAAAAAAGTGTTTGGTAATACTCCATACCACTTTGAAAATGCGGGGTGCTCGAATGACAATGATCCGTTTCTCCCATCCCGCATAACACTCTTGGGAAATACGGGCCACCCGGTGAAAGAGTGGAAGGAGACCCGGTCGCATATGCCCGGCATGAAGGCCTTGCAAATCGACGACAATGGAAAAGTGTCGGACGTGTCTTCTGTTTGTAGAAGTAGTAGAAGTACTAGTGTTTTGTGATTGTGATGACTGCCAAAAAGCAGGATGACAATGCAGTTCTCGAATCCAGCAAATCTGTTGGACAAAGTCTTGGACACCAAAGTGTTGGAAGAGTCCCCAACTATCGGCGGCTCCAATGCGATCGACCAAAACGGGATCTCCGTCGTAATCGCACGTTTCCAGCATTTGACACGGCAACTGATGCCAATGCGGATCGGGTGTGGGAATTCGTGCCAACAGTGTATCGGCATTGGTCTCGTGACGCCATGCAATCATTTGACGAAACATGGTTTCCACTTTTCGTAAAGCAGTACCGCGATGACTCTGACTGCTCGAAGGAGATGTGGCGTAGAGATAGTATTCCTTGTAGAATCGCATGACTTCAAAGGGATCGTTCTTCCAGTGAATCACATCATTTAGGTTCTCTTGGAGTTGCCGCATGTTCTGCGCATCTTGGTCCTTCAAGTTCCACAGTTTGCACATTGCTTCAAATCGATCATGGCTCCAACGTTCTTCCCACGTCATGGATAACTCCACCGCATTCTCGAACGAGGCAATGCTACCGGTAGCACGGGGATTCTTATTAGTAAGAGAGGGCATCTTTAACACTGACCAAGATAGCTAGCTAGATAATAGATGGGGCTCTATTTGATTTGTGGTGTAAGTGTGAAAAGGAGGGAGCTGCAAAGACTACGGTCACTGTGGTTGTTGGTATCCGGGGTCTTAGTTAGAAAGCTGTCGGGCTGTTCTTGTTGTTGTACTGTACCGATACTACCGTTCCTACCGCATCCGGTGTCGATGTTGGATGTGTTTTGGGCAGTGTGACAGAAAGGAATGTTACTATTAGTAGAAGAAACAGCTAAATAAATTTATAGTTTAAAAAAGGAGCGTGGGGGCCGTTGCTGGACAGTGACCGTTCGAAAAGTTCCCACCTACCGGTACCTTGCTTGGGGTATGGGGCAACTATGAATTTAGGAGCAACCTTGGCACAGAAACACTCAAACTGAGTCCTGGAGGTGCCGGTACTGTAAGGTTGCCCCATACCCCTTTCACAAGTACGTGTCGGCTTCAAGTCTTGAGAAGCACTTCTTTTGTCTCATTTTATTTTTGACACGATCCAGACATACATACAGGACCGTCGAACGGTTTTCCCTCAGGTTTAAAAAAAACTTAAAATATCGCAGTGGAAACATTCCCCTAAACATTCCCTTAAAACATTCCCTTAAATCCTCAACATTCCCTTAACATTCCCTTAAATCAACATTCCCTTAACAACATTCCCTTAAGGCTTCGAAACATTCCTCTAAGCCTTCATGTAAACCCCATAGAACATTCCCTTAAAAAAAATGAACATTCCCTTAAATAAACATTCCCTTAAAACATTCCCTTAAATCCTCAACATTCCCTTAACATTCCCTTAAAGCTTCAACATTCCCTTAACATTCCCTTAAGGAGAACCACAATTTGAGCAGTTTTTAAACCTGAGCAAAAACCGTCGGACGGTCCAGTATCGTCATTCTTATTCTTTAGTACAGTTAGTTGCACGCATATTATGCGCATCTATCTGACAAACTCAAACGATCGAGTGTCTATGAGCGCGCAGCTTTAGTTAGGCCTGCCGCAGACACGACCTACCATGGCACAGACACAATCAACGCAAGCAAACTTACCTAATACTCTAGCTACGCACAAGATGGCTGGTGACGAATGACGAACGGCAACCACTGCAAGGTGCCGGCGGTGGCAATAACAACAGGCCACTTTCGTCGATGCAGTAATAGGGAATCTTGCCGACTTGGGCCGCAACAGGAACATGCTTCAAGTCATGCTTGGCACGCCCTGTGGTTCTCTATGTTCTTCTGAATGAATCAGAAACATTTGCGGCCCAAAGGGAGAAGAATTATCACAGAGACATCAACAATTCACATTGGTATTAATAGCTACATTTCCGAGGGAAGATAGATCCTGTCATTCTACAGTAAAGGTTGATTCTACTGCTACTGTACGTGTAGCTAGCTAGCTGGATGATGTTAGGTGAACTGGTTTCTTAAAACTAAGAAGAGAAAAAGATATGGTTCACGAACGGGAATGGGTTGGATGGATCTTCTTTGGAACTGACGCAACTTCAACGTCCACCCAACACCCCACAAAGAAGGCGCCCACTTCCATGGAACCAAGGAGGAGCCGAGTTCCCATCAATTCTAGCTAGGCTAGAGTAGAAGGATAACCAAGTTGCTGGCTTTTTGCTTCCAGTCAGTACCTGGTATTAATTATTTATTGCAATACAATACAGATCACTAATAGAACAGCCATGTTGTCTCTTGGTTCCAGCCGGTGCCTAGTGGCACTTCTTTTTGTTACCTCTTGTTGGTCCTTCCAGCCCGTCACTCCCGCCAACCGAAGGTCTCTGGATAGATCTACTTTGCTATTTCAGTCTTCGGTGGAAGCTGCATTGGGTATGTCATCTTTTTGAAATTGAACTTTTGATTCAATGGATTGAATGAATGTTTGTGGGTATATACCCATTCTTTCTCAATTTTTGTTGTTATCTTACTTTTTTGTTGGTTTGTTGTACCAGGCCAACCCACGGAATTACCCGATTCTCTGGAGGATGGTGCTCAAATAGCCGCCAAGGCGTGTGCCGATCTGATTGAAGCGCAGGGAGCTCCCGGGCGATGTCGTGTGGATTTTGATACTTCGGCAGGAGACGAAACATTTACCCTCCTCAAGCAATCTACTGAATTTATGCAATGCATGGTCACATCGCTCTGTTATCTACAAATGCCAGAACTACAACTCCAAAAACAAGACGAAATGATGAAAGTCGTCACGGCCAAAGCGGAATTGGCACAACTGGAGGAACAATACGATGAAATAGCAGCGCAAGTACAAGCTATGGTCGTTGCGGGGACTGCCAATGACAATGACAATGACGACAACGACGACAACGACGACAATAATGACACTTTGGAAACCAAAAAGGAAGAATTGTCCCAATTGCAACAAAAAGTCGATGCCCTCAACCAAGTCATTGCCCGTGGAGGACGGGATCCCGATTTCGTCTACAACGGACCCATTGCACGAATCTACTTTCCGGACGAAGGAAATGCCGCGCTTGCACGTCGCGATTGGCTCAATCCACCCAATGGAGGCGCCCCCGTCGTCCCTCCGTGCGTACAATTTAGTTCCTGTGGTGGCGTCCAAACCCACGACGTGTCCAAAGATCAACTCGTCTTTTTCTTTTGTCCCAAAGCCAGTGAATCGGAATCCGTCGAAACCATTTTGGAACTCTCGGAAACCAACGACGCCAATAATCTGCAACTCACCGTCTTTGTCAATCCCCTGCTCGTTGATATGGGTGTCACGGGATTTGGCATGGCCGGACGACTCTTGCGAGAACGATTGATTGATCCATTGACCAATGCCTACTATTTGAGAACGCTCCAATGGGGGGCATTGACACGTGTCTGGCCACGAGAATTCAGTGTTTGGCAAGAAGATGAAAATGAAGAAGGAGGATATCGCTTGATCCGCACATGCCCCACGCTACCGTCCAATCCAGAAGTCGAGGATATCTATGATATTGCCAACGGAAACATGCAAGAAAAGAAGAGTAGTGGTATGCTGGACTCGTTGGGTGATTTTGTCAATGGCATGATGCGGTTGTAGACTAGTCAAATACAAACACACAAGTCAGAAGCAAAAGTGCGTTCCAACCAGGATAAAGCGAAAACAGCTAGTAAAACTAGCTTGTATCTTTCGAGGGTTGCTTTTGCAAATGGCTGCACTGCAGCAGGCAGATCGTGTTTCTCTTTCGACATCGCAGAGGCCAATTCGTGCGCAATCTTGCCGATCTGCAGACCGTCGCCGTCGACTTGCTTCTGAGTAGAATGTTCGCCGCTCTATTGTGGCGTTCTTGGAAATGAGGGAACCAGTAGCTTTCATCCTTCTATGGTACCTATGCGTAGCCGTACTACGGTATCTAGGCCGCAGACAAGAGACTGCCATACTTATGTAAGCCAACGCCTCTTTGGTCCGCTACAGCGATTGTCTGTCGCGGCCTCTTATCAGGTGTCCACAGAATCCTCAGCAAGAGACCGCTCTTCAATACCAGCCAATCGGAAATTTGTATTGGTCTCCTCCCTCCAGGTAAGAGACAAGAGCAAGGAATAGTCAGGAACGGGGACAAGGACTACAGTTAGTTGCAACCAACAAGACGACTGTACACTCTGTTCTTCGTACTGCCTGTCGTGTGCTCAAGATGGAAGAGAAAGAACTATGGCAGCTATCATCACAAGACTATCATTGGCTATGAGCGCTGGGCATGTTTCAACGAGGTGCCGCCATTGTCAGATCTGGCTGTCCAACCGTGGAACAAGCTAGATTGATTTCCCTTGAAACCCTCACATAGTGCCACTGAACTTTCTCCATGCATGAAATGAGGGCCACTTTCTTCTCCGAGAAAGGAATTTCAAACAGATTCCTCGGTCTGATCCGCTTTGGTGCACTGATTCCATCCACAGCTACAGCAACTCGGCCCTCTTTCAATCCATCCAAGCAGACATGGCCAATTTTACCATTCATTGATTGACCAGAAGGGCTAACTAGCCCATTGATCAGCACCCACAAACCTGCTTCCCCTCTCCCCAGAGCACCTCGTCTGTCCTCTGCACTGTGCATTTCTGCAACCTTCATTGCTGATTCGAAGTAGGCTATCTGTTCAAGGGTACATTCTGTCTTGAGAGCCGCAAATGCCACATGTGCGACTCGTTTGAGCATCCCATGGTGGCACCACCAATTTGGTCTACTGGTATTCAGTCGGGTGTTATTTTGATGATATCCAGGGCAAAGATTTCCGATGCAAGCAGCCCAAAAAAAGATGTTAGAACGAGAAGAAACAGGCCCTTCCCATTTATCCAACAAAAAAAACCAGTCAGAGCAACAAATGCCCACCGTTTGCAGGCTTCCTCCAAGCATGGCCATACTTGTCGATATTATCGTAAATCGATTTCAAATGATGACCCATGGATTCCGAGAAATGAGAATCTTTTCGGTAGTCACAGAAAGTCAGAGATGCCTTCAGGAGAAGGGAAACTGCATTGCGGATATACGTTTTGATAGTACTGCCCTTGATGCGCCGACAATACAAACTGCCGTCTGACCAGAGGTGCTCGGCATACATACACAACGCCAGCTGGATAGCTTCGGGGTCGGCATCTTTGATCTCCAAAATTGGAGGAGAAATCGGGACTGGAGTTGTCCATTCTAGATCATAAGCGAACCCGAGGAAATGCAATTGGTGCGTTCGAGCTGTCCCAGCTCGCTTGGAAGACTTGGTACCTCCATTGGAGATTTGGAGAATAGACTCCAAGAGAGGAGCTGTAGCAAGGCGGGACTTGGGCGGAAAGAATTCCAGTTTCGCATGAAGCTGAACTTCTGGTACAGCTGCTCGTTCACGATGGGAGAGGTCAAAATGGGTGGGACGTGAGATAAAATCGGCCAGAATATTTTCAACACCGGCAATATGCTGAGCAGTAATACTGATGCCAGAGACACGCAACAATTCACAGTAAATGCCAAGCAAACGCTGACCCTGGGGGGACTTGGTGGTGGCACGATTCGCCCATGAAACAGAGACGTTGTTGTCGGACCAAGACAACACCACTGGGATTTCGGGCTCCCCATAAGGGAAAAGTTCTGCTTTCTCCTCGGGAGAGAGAGAACGGAGGGCAACGATGGAGCCGGCCAGTTCCAGAATGATCGTCAAACTCCAACTGATTGATGTGGATGAAGTTGGGCGAAGTAGGGTCCAGCTCAGGCATCGACGAACACGGTCACTCCAGACAATGTCAAACCAGAACTTGAGTTGGGGGCTGTAACCACCAGCGCCATATTCACTGGCATCGCCCCAGGCGATAGCGTGGGGGTCTCTGAGAATGATGGTTCCGATCTTGGCCTCAAACGGAATAGGATCCGTCTTCAAGTAATGCAGAATGTTGGACAAGGAACTGCGCAGGGACGAATCGACCGTTTGGGTTCCTTTGTTGCGCCAAATCAGAAGGGCTTTCTCATGTGCCAGAATGTTTTTGACACGTTTCCAGAGAGCCTCAGGTAGCTCTGCATGCAAGTCGGCTGCCTTCTGCTTGCCAATTCGTTCCCAGGTTTTGCGCTGGGTGAAATAGAGGCGCTGCAACAAGGTACGCATCCGATTCTGGAGGGCAAAGAACCAAGGGCGTGCCCACACCACATAGCGTGTGTGATTTTCCAACACGCCTAGGAGCTCAGCACCCTCGAGCAATGAGAATCGATCCTTCTGGAGCCAATCCTCGAGGCGGGAAATGAGCTCGGTTTTCTTGTGCTTCAACATGGAGATAGACAATGGCCGGGTATTCCAATGGCGGCCAACAATCTGGCGCAAATGGCCATGGAGGGGATCCAACTTCTCCAAACTCAATGGGTTGCTGATGTCAGGGGAGGGCTCACCGAGAATCTTGTAAAGGCTAACGACGCTGCATGCAATCGTTCGCTCCATAGTAGCCTTCATGTCAGCTTTAGCACAATCATCAACATGATGAAGGAAAGGCGGTGGGAGACGATTACCATCGCTGTCATGGATGCCTTGGTGCTGACTATCGCGAGTAGCTTTAGAAAAACTGGCAATCTCAGCCTCCGTCGGCTCTGGTGTGAACTGGATCGTGGGTAAATATTGGCGCGCCATTTCAACCACATTGGGCTCATTGAGCCACAGCCACCGAGCAAGCCAGGCACGAGCAAGGGCAATCCGGTCCCAATTGGAAGGAGTTGTATTGTCTCCGAAAGTGCCACCTGTATTGAAAACGCCGAAACCACACTGGACACTCGTATGCATGGCAACCAAATTGGGGTGATATTTCAACCACCGGAAGGCACCACTGACGTCATCGTCGCCAAGGTAAATTTCCTCAAACTCGGCGTCAATCCGGATCAAGTTCTATAATTAGCCGGAACAACGGTAGGAACACCTTTTCCGAACGGCGAGGAGTGCCTATTTTGGGGGCAGATTGCATCAAAACAGAATATGAGGCAAAGCCTCACAATATTTAGATAGACAGACACAACAGTTGCCATCTTAGCTACCAGTAGCCTAGTAGAGGGAATAACACGCAGCCAGTAGATTGGGTTTGTGAAAGTCACTCCTCTCATACAACGCTCCAAGAAACCAGACGGGAGTTTTCTGTCAACATTCAAGGCCACGGCGGCTTGAACGCATCTCCTCAAGTCGCTCACTTCTTCAGCGACGACCATTCTCCTTCCCAGTGTTTGCTGGTACCTGGTACTGGTACATAGCTTTTACATGTACATATTATGTATGTTGTACAGTACATGCATGTGGTCAACGTCAATCACTTCTTCGAGTGTCTTCCGTGGTTATTAAAAAAGGCAGCTGCAAGGTCCGGAAACAGGGCTCAAAGCGTTAGTTTCACGGTTTTGAGTTAGTCTGAATCTATAGTCTGATATGAGGTACAGTCGTACGAGTACCGGTACAGCTACCGGTACCGCGGTCCTGGCCCTTTTGAACTTTTGCTTCCGCGACACGCGACACCACTGCTGCTCCATCACTGATACGCTACCGGTGGTAGCTAGCTGCTAGCTACCGCTTGCTGCTCGAGTACTAGTATGCATAGTAGAGACATGCAAGTACATGTACTTGTATGCATAGCAGAGACATGTATGCCACAAGGAGCGAGAACTACACAAGTGGGGCGCACCAACAACGCCAGTTCACAGCCAGGCTTAGTTTAGATCAGCGACAAGAACCCTGACTGAAGGCTTTTCGTAAACATTTAGCATTCTCACTTTTGCTGCATTTTACAAACACACGGCGCAGCCAGCGGAATCGATAATAGGGTGACGGGACCATGAGTTCTTCTGATTCCGATGCTCCCGGTACTGTGTCTCCCCAAGGCGAGATGGAAGAAAGAAGACCCACAAGTCAAGAAGACAGGCAAGAAGCCCAAGAGTTTAGGGAGTCGAACACTACCACGAATGACACCGCCACTAACCAAGAATACAATCTTTTGCAGATGGCTACGGAAATTAACGAAGCTGCCGAAATGGAAAAACTGGGAAAGTCGGCAGATACTACTAGTGCCGGACACGAATTGGTACAATCGGCAACCACGGAAGAAGGCACGAGTCAGACAACCCAACAGGGACACCAGCCACCTCGACCGGGAGCATACTTGGGAACCCCCGGAGAAGTATTGCAACGTACCAGTTCAGTCCGATTCTCTCTGGTTGGAGTCTTCAGTCATGCTGAAGCAGTGGCTGGACTCGTGCAGAACGAAGATTCCGGTTCTTATCAGGAAGGACAAGTTGTAGCGGAAACTCATTCATCTAGTTTGAACGGTGATGAGGAACATGCAGCAATGAGGCAACAAGAGTACTCTGCCACACTAGTGGAAGCAGAATTGGTAGAGACACCAAGTGTTCAGATGCAATCTGAAAGTAGTATGTTAGGCCATGGCCCGGATCTTGTCCATGCGCTGGCGGTGGATGAAAGAAGAAAGATTTGTATCTATGGGCTTCTGGCGACAGCATTTTTATTTGCTGCTTCCGTGGCTGCCATTGCATTCTCCCTGAGAAAAAGTGAAGAGCCACACGATGAAGCCTTCATTCTTCAAGTCGAAAAACGAGTTCAGGAGGTTGTGGTCACACTTTTCCAGGAACCGGTGGCAATTCTCAGTGTCTTGGAACGCTTTGATCGATCGGGACTCTTCCCTCATTCTTTGGATATCCTTGACCGGGCAGCCTTCCTGTTGGTTGCCTATTCTCTCCGTCAGGAATACAACTACAATTTGATTTACTACGGATCTGAAGAGGGTCTGTTCATGGGGTAAGTGAATGTTTCAACTTTTGCAAACCATTGGCACCACCGAGTCTGTGCCTTCCTGCTTATTCATCAATGCAATGCCTCCTACATGTAGGTATGGCGTGGGATGGGGGACATACCGAGAACCAGCAAACAGTTACAGTGTGGATGACCCAACCAGGACGAAATACCTCAAAGCATGCGTTGATTCGTTCTCTGGGGACCCTGTAGATTGTGTTCACCGGGAAGGGGCAAAGTACATACGATGTACAAACAACTGCTCCTTGGCTTTGTGTCCTGACCAAAACCAGACCTGGTGCACTGACTATGAAATCGCGGTGGTTGAACCTGAGGAAATGGGATCACTTGGATACGTCCCCCGGACGTACTATTGCCACAACGAAGCAGGCTTTTTCACACAGCAGCCTGGCGACGCTGTCCAAGATGACGGATCTCTTGGAAACTGCACATACAGCGATGGCCAAACTCTTGTCAATCGATCCTTAGAGGGTGATTACGCCTTGTGCCAAGGGACCTCCTGTGGTGAAGCCTTCATTGGAGGCTACAGGAGTGCTGACTATGACCCTCGGTACAGATCCTGGTACATGAATACAAGAGAACAGCAGAAGCCTCTTTGGAGTGAGCCCTATCCCTTCTTTTCTATCCTTGATATTGGGATGACATACAGTGTTCCTTACTACAAAATTGACAAGGAGAGCAACCATCGAATTTTTCGAGGTGTCTTTGGTGTGGACTATACAGCTCGTGACATCACAGTGTTTCTGGTGGAGAGCTACGGGCCAAACTCAAATACAGCTTCCAACATTCATGTTGTCATTTATGAAGCCGCAGATCCCAACTATTTTGTGACATCCTCCACCGGCAGAAATGCTGCTCACACAGTTCTAGTGAGGGATCCAACAATCCCTTGTCCACATGATGCAGCCTATACCCATAAATGCAAAGCTGCCCGTTTTGAGATGCAACAACTGGAAGGGGAAATGTATGATGATGTTTTCAGGAGAGCATATGAGGAACAAGCATCCCATGGATATCCGAGTGACATGGTGCAAATGGACGTGAATGGCGTGTCATACGTTTCTCGGAGTTCAACAATTTCTGGTGTTGGGAACAATCTAGAGTGGATCGTTCTTGTCATTAGCTAGCGAACTCTAAACCATAGTTTTTGTAAACTTGTCCACCCAGTTCCTACTGTCTCCTTCTGGTGCTCGCGATCTGTGCTGGTGCCATTATCATAGTCAACAGTCCGGGCCCTGCATGGGTGAAAGACGGAAGTGTCATGTGGATCTCGGAGTGCAGCTCGAACACTGCCGCAAGCCCACGGTGTGGAGTGTGGAAAATCAATTCTTTTCGATTATCCCCAACGCTATAATAATGAAGCCAGTCGCTCACTTCTTCGTTGACGAGCTGACCATGGCAGCACCTCCCAAAGTGGCCGTCGCTGTTCAGTCAACGTCAAACGCTTCCTCTCCTCTTTACTCTACCCCAGCAAGCTAGCAACCATTTCTCCCGTCACTACTACGAGTACCATCAGCTTCCCTTTTGAGTCTGCGGACTCTTCAGTAGTGATTTTGTTGACGTGCTTTGTTGCCTTTTTGATTCGTCTCGTGATCATGGGTTGGAGCACCACAAGTGGCAGTAGTAGTAGTAGCATGCAACAAGGAATTACGAGTCGACGAAGAAGCCAAGATGGTCAGATTGAAGATTTGATCGCGTACGCTCGTTCGAATTACCAAGAGAATCCGACCGAATGTTTGGCGGCCTTGTTGGAAGCCATGACGTTGAACAGTGGCCACAATGGTACAGCAAACGCCACGATGGATCGATTGCGGAATGAACTGGGCGACGATGTAGCCAATGCCGTAGGATCGCAGTCGGAACGAACCCAACGAGCACGACGCATGGTACAAGCTTTACTAGAAGACTCGTCCACCTTTTTGTACGGTCAAGGACGACAACACATTCTACAGCAAACCATGGAAGATGGATCCAGTGTCGTATGCTCCAAGTGTCACGCCGTCGTGGCCAGTACACGCTGGAGACAGCATCAGCAGTATTGGTGTGAAACCATACAAGACGACGGTGATGACGACCAAGAAGATCAACATGAAACTAGTAGTAGCAACATCATGGACACGACATGATATGATTGAATGAATCAAATGAAACAACCATACGACGGGGAGCGGACAAAAAATGATCGGTGTGGAGACTGCAGCAAAAGGAGGACGACGTAAGGACATCTGGAGGCAGGAATAGCTAAATAGACGATCCATACAAATCCTAGTGGAGCCAGCATTTAGTTATTAAATTAACATAGGGTCTAGATTGAATGATAAACATTCCATCACCCTACTATCATCCGTTGCCGAGCTAGTAGCAAGACGTCGTTTCGTGTACGTATATGCGGCCACTAAGATGCGAAGAAGGGATGTTGGAATCGTTCATTTGCGACTGGAAAACACAAACGCCACGGGCATCAATCAATCAATCAATGCACTGCGACGTGGTGGAAGGGGAAATCATCCCGCTGCATCAGCCTGAGCAGTTCTAATTGACGTTCTGCCCTTTGCATTTTCCGTTTTTGAAAGGCGTCCAGATCCAAGATGCCACGACAATGCGTCTCCATGGCTCCCATCAAGTCACGCGCATCTTCTTGCTGGCGAAAGGGGAAAGAAGAGGGTGGAGAACGACGCATTTTGTCAAAACACGTCGTGAGGGCCTCTTTCATCAAGGTCGTCACGGGGAACTTGGGCGCTACTGGAACCTTGGTCCAGCCAGGCCGCGCCTCTTCCGTCGTGCTGTATCTGTAGCCATCAATACGAACTTGCTCATATAACAATTTCATGGTATCTGTGGCTGGATAGTCAAAGATGAAATGGAGCTGTACCTTGTGATAGTCACCACCATCCACTTCTGGGGACGACTGCATCAAAAGCACAAGGAACGAATGTTTGACTTGCACCATTTTGCGCTTGCCAATCTTCTGCAACCACCGTGGCTTGTTGGGGTCTATGGCATAGTAGATCTTGGGTGCTCTTGCTTGATGGCCCAGTATGTAGGGCAAGCATGGCCTGGTGAAGCTCTCTGATTCACGAAAGAGATCATTGGCTGTAGAACAGGTGTTGGCCATGTTGAATACAGAGTCTCCATCCATGTACTTTTCAACAGAGTCCCAGACAGAAGGCAAGGGGCCAAGAGCAATCTCATTCTGGATGCGGGCTGCTGCGTGTTTCTGGTCAGAGGTTGCCTTCTTTTGTCCCGTACCAAGAGCACATTCTTCAGACTCTACCTGTTGGGCTGGTTCTTTTTGGTGGAACATACGCCTTCCAAGGATGGCCAAGGGTCGCCATGCTGTCTCATGGTCGGGGCGGTCTGCTGCTGCAGCAGACTTGGTGGTATCGTGTTCTATTTTTAATTTCATCGAAAGTTTGTTGTGTGCTTTTGCCTGCCTGGTTTATGAGACGACGTGCTGCTGCGGACAACTGAGGGGTAGTGAGTCGCGCGTGTTCGCTTTCCCCCCAGCCGTGGAAAAGATTGAGTGAAGCAATCTCAAAACCATGGCTGTCACTCCTTTCCAAGAAGACCTTCAGCGTTGATGTGCGCTATCTAGCTAGAGGGGGGTTTAGAGCGGGAAGTTATCTACTTCACCCACCTTTTCCTCGTAGTTTATTGGCAGCACATAGAGGAGTAGCTACGGTTACAGGGACCAGCTAGCGACCATAGCTATCCTCCTGCCCTGGGCTAAATTAACGCTACGGTGGTCCCAGGCACACATGTACTTGGCAGACCCTTTCGATGCAGGGCTGTCTTCGGGTGGATCATCTTTGGTGCCATCATTGCTCCGATGAAGCCATTGGTTTTTGCTTTCAGCCACTCATTTCGTCGCATTGCCGGCCGACAAACCCAGCAGCCTCGCCGTTGGCTGGTTCTGCCTTCTGCAAAAGCAATAGCCCCGCCATCATCGGCCAGAACTCATGTCACGAAGCGACCCATTAACTTTTAAAAACGTCCATTGGAAGACCAAGCAACGACGAGACTGCTCGAATCGTTCATCGCTCGTCTGCGCGAGGAAATGGTACTACGTTCTCGACATTGCTAATGTATGGGACCACTGAGACCATCGTTGCCATCTTTTTATCATTGGCGATTATTACTTGCTGGTTGCTCGAACTTGTTTCCTTACCATGTAAATCAATAGTGAAACGCAACCAGTATGCTAGTTGTTGGATGCTGTCAAGTCAAGCTTTCACGGGCTGCGGCGTAACACGCAAAACGTCGTTGAACGTCTTGGTCTTTTTTAGTCTTTGTTCGCTGCGGCGCTGTTCCTTTCATTGGTGTCTCAACATGTGTTCTTGCGGTCGAAATTCAATATCAATTAAACTGTTCCTTGCCTTGACAGCAAGTCTCTCGTCTTCCGGTTCCCGTCTTGTCGTCAATTGTTGCTCTCTATTTCTTCAGCTCCTGTTCCAACTTTTTCAATTCCGCTGCCAATTCAGCTTCCAACTGGGCCAACGACTGATCTGTTGCTGGCAAACCATCGTTAGCCAACGCTGGGCTGGGAGCAGGTTTGGGTGCCGGAGCGGGTATAGAAGGGGCTGGGGATGGGGCGGGGGCGGGTTTTGGTGGTGGTGTTGCTGCTGCAGGTTCTGCAACCTTGGGCGGCGTCGGTGCAGGGGGTGGTGAAAGTGTAGGTGCGGGTACAGGTGCTGGTACAGGTGCTGGTGCAGGTACAGGTGCTGGTGCAGGTACAGGTGCAGTTGTCACTGTCGCCGAAGCCTTGGGTGTGGGAGCAGAATTCGGTGTAGGTGTGGGAGCAGATGGCTTGGGTGCTGTTACTGAAGGTAAGGTTACCATTGGCACGCTAAAATCACTGGTGAAACTCTTCACCTGTTTTGATATTTCGTTCACCTGTTGGATTACTGGATATAGTTGTCCATTGGCCGGTGACTCGTTGAGCTCTGGGAGGGCCGTTAAGCCGGCAAATAAGGCCGCACCGGTTGCCACTACACCAGCAACAACAGCTGTTATACTGCCACTGTTTGATTCTGCGCCCGTGTTGTAATTTGAGCCAACATTGGACTTGGGGAACACAGGTCCTCCCTGGTTGGAGCTGCTGCCAAAGGTACTACCCGAACTTGTCCCCGGAAATGCTGGTCCTCCTTGGGCCCCACCAGGTCTTTGATTGTTGTTGTTGCTGCTGCTGCCAAAGGGACTGTTGTTGCGTCCTGGAGCCGAGTTTGCTGACCCAGGGAAGACAGGACCACCTTGGCTACCACCTGGAGGTGTTGATCCAGGAAAACTTGGACTGCCATTGGTAGTCCCACCTGATGATCCTCGACCAGGAAATGAAGGTCCACTCGACTGATTGGTAGACGAACCTCGGCCGAAGCTTGATCCATTTTCCTTCTTGTCCTTGTTCCTGCCTCCAAACAAACTGAAGCCACCTCCCTTGCTTTTGTTGTCTTGATCCTTCCTGCTGCCAAATGGACTCTTGTTTTGGCTGCCTTGACCCAAGCTTGATCCCGGGAAGGCTGGACTGCCATTGTTCATCCCACCAGAGGATCCTCGGCCTGGAAATGAAGGTCCACCAGACTGGTTGGTTGACGAACCTCGGCCCAAGCTGGATCCTGCGCTTGTCCCAGGAAAAGCCGGTCCACCTTGGCTGCCGCCTGGCGGTGTTGATCCTGGAAAGACGGGACTGCCATTGCTCACACCACCTGGGGTTGATGAACCTCGGCCCAAGCTAGATCCAGGGAAGCCTCCAGACTGCCCACTTTCCTTCTTGTCCTTGTTGCCACGTCCAAATAAACTGAAGCCACCACCTTTGCTCTTGTTTGCCTTATTGTTGTTGCTGCCAAAAGGACTGTTGTTTCCACCCAGTGGTCCTCCCGGGCTTGTCCCTGGAAAGACAGGTCCACCTTGTGTGCCACCCCCTCTTGCTTGATTGTTGTTCCCTCCAAATGGGCTGTTGCTTTGGGTGCCTTGACCTAAGCTTGATCCAGGGAAAGTTGCTCCACTGGATTGCCCAGTCTCCTTCTTGTCCTTGTTGCCACGTCCAAATAAATTGAAGCCACCACCTTTCTTCTTGTTTTCTTTATTGTTGTTGCTGCCAAAGGGGCTGCTGTTTCCTCCTGGTGGTCCTCCCGGGCTTGTCCCTGGAAAGACTGGGCCGCCTTGCGAGCCACCCCCTCTTGCTTGATTGTTGTTGCCATCAAAGGGGCTGTTGTTTCCACCTGGTGGTCTCCTGAGCTGGTTCCTGGAAAGACAGGGCCGCCTTGCGTGCCACCCCCTCTTGCTTGATTGTTGTTGCCTCCAAATGGGCTGTTGCTTTGGGTGCCTTGACCTAAGCTTGATCCAGGGAAAGTTGCTCCACTGGATTGCCCGCTCTCCTTCTTGTCCTTGTTGCCACGTCCAAATAAATTGAAGCCACCACCTTTCTTCTTGTTTTCTTTATTGTTGTTGCTGCCAAATGGACTGCTGTTCCCACCAGGTGGTCCTCCTGAGCTTGTCCCTGGAAAGACTGGGCCGCCTTGCGAGCCACCCCCTCTTGCTTGATTGTTGTTGCCACCAAATGGACTGTTGTTTCCACCTGGTGGTCCTCCTGAGCTGGTTCCTGGAAAGACAGGGCCGCCTTGCGTGCCACCCCCTTTGCTTGATTGTTGTTGCCCCAAATGGGCTGTTGCTTTGGGTGCCTTGACCTAAGCTTGATCCAGGAAAGTTGCTCCACTGGATTGCCCGCTCTCCTTCTTGTCCTTGTTGCCACGTCCAAATAAATTGAAGCCACCACCTTTCTTCTTGTTTTCTTTATTGTTGTTGCTGCCAAATGGACTGTTGTTTCCACCTGGTGGTCCTCCTGAGCTTGTCCCTGGAAAGACGGGGCCACCTTGCGTGCCACCCCCTCTAGCTTGATTGTTGTTGCCACCAAAGGGACTATTGCCTTGGCTGCCTTGGCCCAAGCTTGATCCAGGGAAAGTGGCTCCACTGGATTGCCCACTCTCCTTCTTGTCCTTGTTGCCACGTCCAAATAAACTGAAGCCGCCACCTTTGCTCGTGTTTTCTTTATTGTTGTTGCTGCCAAAGGGGCTGCTGTTCCCACCTGGTGGTCCTCCCGGGCTTGTCCCTGGAAAGACTGGGCCGCCTTGCGAGCCACCCCCTCTTGCTTGATTGTTGTTGCCACCAAAGGGCTGTTGTTTCCACCTGGTGGTCCTCCTGAGCTGGTTCCTGGAAAGACTGGGCCGCCTTGCGAGCCACCCCCTCTTGCTTGATTGTTGTTGCCACCAAAGGGGCTGTTGTTTCCACCTGGTGGTCCTCCTGAGCTGGTTCCTGGAAAGACAGGGCCACCTTGTGTGCCACCCCCTCTTGCTTGATTGTTGCTGCCGCCAAATGCACTGTTGCTTTGGGCGCCTGGAAATGACGGACCACTACTGGTTCCTCCAGGTGGGCCACCTCCAGAGCCGGGGAATCCTGGACTACCACCTGGTTTGGGTGGACCACCGGCGGCTCCAGGTGGGCCACCTCCAGAGCCAGGAAATCCTGGACTACCTCCTGGCTTGGGTGGACCTCCCGCTGCTCCAGGAAAACCACTGCTTGCACCTCCTGGTGCCCACCTCCAGAGCCGGGAATCCTGGGCCGCCACCGGGCTTGGGTGGACCTCCGGCTGCTCCAGGAAAACCACTGCTGCACCTCCAGGTGGGCCACCTCCAGAGCCGGGGAATCCTGGACTACCACCTGGCTTGGGTGGACCTCCGGCTGCTCCAGGAAAACCATTGCTTGCACCTCCAGAGCCGGGGAATCCTGGACTACCACCTGGCTTGGGTGGACCTCCGGCTGCTCCAGGAAAACCACTGCTTGCACCTCCAGAGCCGGGGAATCCTGGCCCACCACCTGGCTTGGGTGGACCTCCGGCTGCTCCAGGAAACCCGCACCAGCTCCGGCCACCCTGTGCTGGTCCGGACTCCGGCTGCCCAGGAAAACCACTGCTTGTTCCACCAGGTGGGCCGCCTCCAGAGCCAGGGAATCCTGGACTACCTCCTGGTTTGGGTGGACCACCGGCGGCTCCAGGTGGGCCACCTCCAGAGCCAGGAAATCCTGGACTACCTCCTGGTTTGGGGGGACCTCCCGCTGCTCCAGGAAAACCACTGATTGCACCTCCTGGTGGCCCACCTCCAGAGCCAGGGAATCCTGGGCTGCCACCTGGCTTGGCCATGCCTCCAGGGGAAGCAGCTCCAACTCCGCCAGGGCCTGATTGACCAGGCATTCCTCCTCCTGGTGGTCTACCAGCCATTCCACCAGGACCTGCTTGGCCCGGCATTCCTCCAGGGGATCCAGCGCCAACTCCACCAGGGCCTGATTGACCAGGCATTCCTGCTCCTGGTCCTCTAGCACCCATTCCACCAAGTCCTGCTTGGCCCGGCATTCCTCCAGGGGATCCAGGCCAACTCCCCAGGGCTGATTGACCTTGCATGCCTCCTCCCATTCCTCCAGGGGATCCAGCGCCAACTCCACCAGGGCCTGCTTGACCAGGCATTCCTCCTCCTGGTCCTCTAGCACCCATTCCACCAGGACCTGCTTGGCCCGGCATTCCTCCAGGGGATCCAGGGCCAACTCCACCAGGGCCTGATTGACCAGGCATGCCTCCTCCCATTCCTCCAGGGGATCCAGCGCCAACTCCACCAGGGCCTGCTTGACCAGGCATGCCTCCTCCTGGTCCTCTAGCACCCATTCCACCAGGACCTGCTTGGCCCGGCATTCCTCCAGGGGAAGCAGCGCCAGGGCCTGATTGACCAGGCATTCCTCTCCTGGTCCTCTAGCACCCATTCCACCAGGACCTGCTTGGCCCGGCATTCCTCCAGGGGATCCAGGGCCAACTCCGCCAGGGCCTGATTGACCAGGCATGCCTCCTCCTGGTCCTCTAGCACCCATTCCACCAGGACCTGCTTGGCCCGGCATTCCTCCAGGGGATCCAGGGCCAACTCCGCCAGGGCCTGATTGACCAGGCATGCCTCCTCCCATTCCTCCAGGGGAACCAGCTCCCACTCCTCCAGGGCCTGCTTGACCAGGCATTCGTCCTCCTGGTCCTCTTGCCCCCATTCCACCAGGACCTGCTTGGCCCGGCATTCCTCCAGGGGATCCAGTGCCAACTCCACCAGGGCCTGCTTGACGAGGCATTCCTCCTCCTGGTCCACTAGCCCCCATTCCACCAGGACCTGCTTGGCCCGGCATTCCTCCAGGGGAACCAGTGCCAACTCCACCAGGGCCTGATTGACCGGGCATGCCTCCTCCTGGTCCTCTAGCTCCCATTCCACCAGGACCTGCTTGGCCCGGCATTCCTCCAGGGGATCCAGGGCCAACTCCGCCAGGGCCTGATTGTGGCATCATCTGTGGTCCATCCAGAGGACTTGGCCCTCTCGCACCTGGTCGGGACTGGGTGGCCCGACCGTTCCTTTGGGCTGGGCGCTGAACGCTGACAGGCGACCCCCTGTTCCGAGGGCGAGAGCTAGGGTTAGTATAGGTTTCATTGTTCTTTCCGTGAGAAAACGGATCGGCCAAGGCGGTGTTGTTTGGGCTCATCAGCTTTACCGACCTTGGATTCACGGGTCTTGTTGCTCTCAACTCTTGTGATTGCTGAAATTGAGACATCTGTGTCGACGATTGGCCTACCGGAGAATTGTAGCCACTTCCTGATCCAGCATCTCTGTACGATCGATTATCGGGAGAAAGCTGTCGGGATATCCGGTATGATTCGTACGCAGCGGCATCATATACATCTGATTTTTGACCACCACTGACACCATAATCTGCCGCGGCAGCCAACATTTCAGTTGTAGACGGCGTGGTAGCCCCAGGATCGCGCACTCTCACTCTCTGCAGTCTCCTCGTATTTGCGCGATTGTGGCTTTGGTCATATGTATTCGATTGGCCCCCTCCTGTGACGCCATAGTCGGCAGCCTTGGCGAGTAAAACACTCTTAGGCGGGTCGTTGGCACGAGGATCACGACGTTGTCGGCTTGAATCTTTCCAAGTAAAAGCATCTGCCGAAGCTTGATTATCCACCATCATCTGTGATTTTCTGGCTGTTCGACCTCCATCAGACATATCAGAGGAGTCATCTGTCAACATACTACCAGCATATCCTCCATTTCGGGTCGACGATTCATACGAATAAAGCCCATTGGAACGCAGGAAGGATGGCGCATCAGGTGCCATCAGATTGCCGCTTGGTGTGTTGAGTTGCTTCGCAATGGTGCCGGGATCATCTGCTCCTGCAAAGCTGGAAAACGAGGTCTCCTCGAAGCGGCGGTTGCTGGATTGACGTGGGCCATTCACTGCTGCTGCTCGGCCTGCCTGAGTTCGTGTTGCTCTTTGCTGCAGCTGTTGCCGCCCTCCTGGACCTGTAGGCCCACCCATGCCACCAGATCTATTCATTCCAGGGCTACTTTGTCCTTGTGTGCGCATTCCACCTGGCCCTGCGGCACCACCAACACCACCTGGGCTTGAGCCAGTAGGACCACTAAAACCGCCAGGACCACCAGGGCCACCAAGAGGACTGCCTGGTTGTCCCATTCCACCTGGCCCTGTGGCACCACCAGGGCCACTCGGACCGCCAAAAGAATTGCCTGGTTGTCCTGGTTTGCTCACCCCCCCTGGCCCTGTGGCTCCTCCAATACCACCTGGGCTTGACCCAGTAGGACCACCAATACCACCAGGGCCACCAAGAGGACTGCCTGGTTGTCCCATTCCACCTGGCCCTGTTGCACCACCAGGACCACCAGGGCCACTCGGACCACCCGGACCACCAAAAGAACTGCCTGGTTGTCCTGGTTTGCTCATCCCCCCTGGCCCTGTGGCTCCTCCAATACCACCTGGGCTTGAGCCAGTAGGACCACCAATGCCACCAGGCCCTCCAAGACCACCTGGACTAGAACCTGCAGCACCACCAAATGGACTGGCTCCTCCAGGTTGATTCATTCCTCCGGGTGGGCCACCAGCAGCTTCTGGAAATCCACCACCGGCTCCTCCTGGGGTCCAATCCACCAGGTTTATTCATCCTCCCGCCCCAGGGGGCCCTCCAAGACCACCTGGACTAGAACCTGAGCACCACCAAATGGACTGGCTCCACCAGGTTGATTCATTCCTCCGGGTGGGCCACCAGCAGCTCCGGAAATCCACCACCGGCTCCTCCTGGGTCCAATGCCACCAGGTTTATTCATGCCTCCCGCCCCAGGGGGCCCTCCAAGACCACCTGGACTAGAACCTGAGCACCACCAAATGGACTGGCTCCACCAGGTTTATTCATTCCCCGGTGGCCACCAGGCCTCCAATCCACCACACCTGCGCCCCCGGACTGCATCCACCAGGTTTATTCATGCCTCCCGCCCCAGGGGGCCCTCCAAGACCACTGGACTAGAACCTGAAGCACCACCAAATGGACTGGCTCCACCAGGTTGATTCATTCCTCCGGGTGGGCCACCAGCAGCTCCTGGAAATCCACCACCGGCTCCTCCTGGGGCTCCAATGCCACCAGGTTTATTCATGCCTCCCGCCCCAGGGGCCCTCCAAGACCACCTGGACTAGAACCTGCAGCACCACCAAATGGACTGGCTCCACCAGGTTGATTCATTCCTCCGGGTGGCCACCAGCAGCTCCTGGAAATCCACCACCGGCTCCTCCTGGGGCTCCAATGCCACCAGGTTTATTCATGCCTCCCGCCCCAGGGGGCCCTCCAAGACCACCGGGACTAGAACCTGCAGCACCACCAAATGGACTGGCTCCACCAGGTTGATTCATTCCTCCGGGTGGGCCACCAGCAGCTCCTGGAAATCACCACCGGCTCCTCCTGGGGATCCAATGCCACCAGGTTTATTCATGCCTCCCGCCCCAGGGGGGCCTCCAAGACCACCTGGACTAGAACCTGCAGCACCACCAAATGGACTGGCTCCTCCAGGTTGATTCATTCCTCCGGGTGGGCCACCAGCAGCTCCTGGAAATCCACCACCGACTCCTCCTGGGGCTCCAATTCCACCAGGTTTATTCATTCCCCGGCCCCAGGCCCTCCAAGACCACCTGACTAGAACCTGCAGCTCCTCCAAATGGACTGGCTCCTCCAGGTTTATTCATTCCTCCGGGTAGGCCTCCAGCAGCTCCTGGAAATCCACCACCGGCTCCTCCTGGGGATCCAGGACCACTAATGCTATTTCGAACGCCACCAGTATTTTGTGGATTATTGGGCTGGTTGGCTCCATTGGCTCCTGGAAATGCAGGGGTTCCGCCAGCACCGGCTCCACCCCCTGGTGGCCCTGCCCCTGGAAATGGAGGGGTTCCGCCAGCATTATTATTTCCAAATAGACTCGATGCAAGGGCCGATGCCGTTCGGGGAGCAAAGGGATTTGCTTCTGGGTCGGATAATATTATGGTGGAACGACGTCGAACCGCCACGGCCTTGGGAACTGGAGACCATACGTTAAACCCGTCGATGGGGGAGCTGCTACCCAAAAGTAGCAGCACTGGTATCAGGGCCCCGCGGTCCAGTAGCCTCATGGTTGGCTGGCTGTGTGGCCTTTTTCTCACAGGGCTTGTGTTTTATAGTAATATGATTTCTTCGTAGTAGTTGTTGTCAAAGATACGATTGCTTCGAAGGGTATAAAACGAGCAAAACGATAATGAGTTGGATTTTCAAGGACTGACTGACTACTGGCTAGGAAGCATCCTGAGAGAAAGACACGAGCGTTGACACTTGTCAGCCGCTCCATCATCACTTACCTACCTACCCTCAGCACCTGCTACAAGTACATCACTCGTATCTGCCTGCTGTTCTGACATACAGTTGCGGTTGATGGCGCTTCTGATTGGAGGCAATTCGGCTTCTGTTGCCGTGGTGGCAGCTTGCTGCAAAAGGATGAGTGTGTGGGAAAGTGACGCACGATGACGGTTATCTTGTGCAATGATGTCATTGGATCTTTCAATCAATGACATCAGCACTAGTTAACACTCCTTTGAAGAGAAGCGTCATCTGTAGGCCCAACCCTCCCGGTTTGATCAGTCGCATGTCCACATCCTCCAGCACCACTTTTCGAACAGGTGCAAATGTATGTGTCTTTGTCAGCTGTGGGCAGCTGCAGCAAGTGTCTCTGCCCAGCATTGTTGCAGAGGCTCATGTTTGCCTGCAACCATTTGCCTGCTGGCTACTGTACTAGAGCCGGAACAGCTGTCTGTAGTGGGGATTGGTTTCACAGGAACGAAGCCCAACAATGGAGCCATGATATCTCCAGCATCGCTCGCACTCCCTGCAACCAGTCAGCCACTTTATCTTTGCTACGTTCCCATCGAGAATTGAATTAATCATGTTGTTATCTAAAGCTTTAAAATAAAAATCCCGTTTTGGTCCTCACTTTGTTGCCCCTGATCCCATGGAACCTACCTGGTAGCTACAAGCCCCGAATTGCCTCTTCTTTGCCTAACTTGAAGCCTGCCTCCTTTCTCCTCCTTACCGGCTTCGGTAGATAGCTTCCCTACGCTACCAGACCCCCGTCTTCTTACCGCATCTGCCTGTATCCCAACGCCATCCGGTCTTCCAACCTCCGTTGTCCTGCCGAGAGAGAAAATGTCATGTCCCAAGAGATAGTTTACAGCTTCACTGGCTGGATTTGATGGTCCGTCGGTCACCGAGGGGTTGTAAATACTACCTCAAACTACGAGTCAACACAGGGTATGGCATTCGTACTGGTTATTTGCAAGACAACTACATTAGATTAGCTACTGGATAGCGTAGTCTCAGCCAACAGATCATGACTTGGATTGCTCAATGCTGTGTCCTTCTAAAGAGCTATCACTTCCCTACTGTACTCTAAAAACCCTGTCAGTTTTTCTGGCTAGATCTAGCTACTAGTTAGGCCAAAGCACAATGGTAAAGCCACATTGAATCTCATCCAGTCAAACACCCGATGTGGTCCCGACACTGTGTTGCAGCTAAAGCTGTGAGTGACCCAAGTGGTGGTTGGTCGCACAGGAAGACCAGCCACCAATAGAGCCCTCACCCGCGCCACACTCACTGCAACCAGTCAGTCGCTTTACATGTAACTTACTGTCATCAAACTGGATCAGAGGACGAGCGACAGATGATACGATAGAAGACCGTACGGTCCTAGAGTACATGTAGACCACTTTTAGAGAAGCGCCAATCTCGGCACAGGTTAATATCGTAGTCGCACGACGCAAAGTACGCGAGGACACAGTGGTACATGGAAGACATCGGGTCATCCGGTCTTTCTCGTATCTTTCTCAAATTTTATTTGCTACGAGAGGGATGAGTCCATTTTAGAGCAGCGCCAATCTCGACACAGGTTAATAGTGTATTTGAGTAGATCTACACGTACCGTACGACTGTAAGACATCCGGTCTTTCTCACATCTTTCTCACCAATTACATAGAAGCCAGCTGCACGCAGCCTAAATAGAGAAGCGTCAACCTCGGCACAGGATTTTGACACCAACCATGCAGTCAATCAAATCTCATTATTTTGTTTGAGACAACAATTTGAGCGTTTGTAATACAGTAACACCCACGTTGACGATGACCAAAACCCTGTTCCTTTTTGGGCTGCTCTGCCTCGCAACCCCTGCGGAAGGAGAGAAAGCTCTCCGGTCCCCTGATTCCAATAAGAGAAATGTAAGTTCATGGTAGCCTAGCCGACCAGATCAGTGAGTGCATTAGCTCGTCGACTCGACTCGACATTCCCTCACCTCATGACTTGTGCGTGATCACATCGCAGCTGGAGTCAAATGACGGCAGCTTTTGGTCCGGGGTCCCTGAGGATTCGGTTGACGGAGTTCCCGGTGCGATGATGAAACACACCAACGTTGTGACCTTTGGTGGTGAAGTCTACCCTCGTCTGGACGCGGAGGACTACATCGAGGAGAAGGAAATGACAGATCTTTTGATTCAGGCGTGGCAAGCCCTTGAGGATCGCAAGTGGTACGACCCTCTAGGGAGCTACCAGATGAGTAACATGCACGCCAATGCGCCCTATGACAACGTCATCAACGAGGAGCTCGGATTTGATATCCAAGCCTACGCAGGTGTCGATTGCGATAGGCGCTCCCGTCAGGGTGGATATTGTGATCATAACAGTCCTCTCTTTTTGGTTTGGCATCGTGCCCATACAACCCTCTTTGAGCAACGTCTCAATCAAGAAGCCCGTGCAATTGCGGAAGAGTACCCGGAAGATGTTAGAGATACTTATCGTGAAGCTGCCAAAGCGCTTCGCATACCAGTTATGGACTACGGCAGCGTCCGTGTGGCTGCCAATGGATACCCCAGCCTCGTCGGGGATGAAATGATGACGTTGAGCATGAACAAAGATGGCGAAACAAACGTCCAGGTAAGCCGCCCCGTGGTCCTGGCTCTCACCAGTTGCCCATGCATAGCTCCTAGACCTCATGTTCTGTACTTGCTTCTGCTTTTCCAGGTCAGGAATCCCTTGCACTCTTTTGTCTTCCCCATTACAACGGGAACAGATGTGACTGGATTAGGTCGTCCTCCTGCCACGGCCAACCCTCTGGTTTACGCCAAGGGCCAACGAACTGTCCGATATCCGGTAAGAACAAACGGCTCTGGAGCGCACACAAGTTGCGACCACATGCACTGTTGCTTGCTGTTTTCTAAACTTCCGCGACATGGGCAATGTCCATATGATATTAGCTGTCGGATGATTCCCAGGCGACAAACTCATCAGGTAAGTGTCGTGTCGTAAACTCAGTTTGGAGTCGAGTCGGTCTCAGCCTCATTCTGGCAACGGATGGAGCAAACTCTTCCTTAACTAACTATACTGCTACTCTTTCGATTCAATCATTCGACTCTTTCGTGCAGCTTCGGACGCAACGCTCATGGCCATGGCTCAAACGTGTGTCCAGCCGTTGCTCTATGAATTGTTCACCAAGCCATTTACCAGTTACGATTGCATGGGGAATGAATTTGCTTCCGGCTGTGGAGAGGGCCAGAGTGAATACTCCCTGGAGAGGATCCATGGGTTTGGCCACAATTCCCTTGGAGGTGGAACCTTTGTTGGCTACATGAGCGGTGCGGGCACTCTCACGCAGCAGACCCCACTTCAGGCGTTTGATCCCATCTTCTTCATGCTTCATGCTTCCATGGACAAGTGGATGTCCATGTGGCAATATCTGAACCCCGACATGTGGATCGAGCCAGCCCTTGACATCTTTGGTTCTTTTTACCGTGATGTCAATCAAATTGTTGACGAAGACACTGTCTTGACTCCGTTCTGGCTTGATAATGACAAGAAGGATGGAGAATTTATCACTCCTGCCATGATCCGCAACCACATGGACCTGGGTTATACGTACCCTGTCCTTCAGGGAGTTTCCAGCAAGGAGGAGCTATTGGCAAAAGTGGAGGAGCTGTACGGGAACTTTGCTTTGGACGCGTCCGGTTGCATGGCAGTTGGTGGAATTGTGCTCAACGAGTGTAATACTTGCTGCCAGAATTCCGTTACTGGCTGTGTGAGTGAACCTGCGGAACCTGCACCTAATGTTTGTGCCGCTTGAGGCGGAGAATGATCGAGATGATCGTGAGGAGGGCATGCATTGTTTTTTGTGGGTTGTGGGCTGTGGGTTCGCTATATTTCTTAACAACAAGTTCTAAAGTAAAAAGTGCCAAATACCTTGATATTAAGCCTAAACTGTGGTCTTCCATGAATAGTACAGTAGCTATTGCTGATAATACAGCACTAATGGCGAGGTTCTAGTAGCTTCACTGGCGTTTAGATCCCTTGTACATACACGTCAGTCACTGACGTCAGTGTGAATGTCACAAATTATTATTGTTATTGCATCGACATTGTTGTTCCGAGTCCATCGACAACCTCGTCCAAGACATGGACAAAAAATACGAAGACTAATCAATCCCACGGCTGTTATTGTGGCCCATATTCTAATCCTGCCTGTATATATGAATCGACATCCCGTTTGCAGTTGGATGCAACAGTGGCAACTAGCTCTCGTCGTTATTACCCTGCTGGCACCAGCAGTGCGTTTTCCTTTGGCATTTGGGTTTTATCCTCCTCGTTTTTATCCTCCTTTCCAAGAGTTTAGTAGTATCATGACAGCCACTACTTTTGTTGTTGGTAGTACTGGTAGTTCTAGCAGCACCCCCGTGTGGGATCCAGTGGAGCAGATTTACGTGGGTGGCGTAGTACCGGGCGCCAGCAATGACGACGTGTCGGAATTGTTGAATGCATCAAAAGGCACACTGCGGGTCTTTGGTTATGGATCTCTTTGCTGGAATCCTGGGGCGGGTGCTTTGGGTCACTCCTCTGTGAAACGTTCGGCCGGTCATGCCAAGGGATATCGACGAGTCTGGGCGCAAAAGAGTACCGATCATCGCGGTTTTCCAAGTTTTCCAGGGATTGTTTGTACCCTCCTCAGTGAGAAGGAAGTGGAGGGGATTCTTTCCAACCAATCGACTACTGACGACAATGACAACGACGACAAAGAAACGACAAGGATGATGACGGAAGGAATTTTATCACGTGCCACCGGAATTGGCACAGGAATGTTTGGCCGAATTGGATTTTCGAGAAAAGGGAGGCTATGCCCGGGAAATTGTGACTGTGGTACAAGACGATACCGGCGAAGAAGTTCCGGCATTGCTGTATCGAGGGACCCCCGAGAATCCCGCCTTTTGGCCACTGGCACTGCAAGAAATACCCTTGGCAGCAGCCGTCATGGCAGTTTCCATCGGTCCATCTGGACCCAATCATGTCTATCTCAATCAACTCGACGCATTCTTGAAGCAACACACGACCAACACGGCAGCGGACGATGATGACACGTGCCGATTGGCAAAAATGGTCCAACAATTGCAACAACACCAGCTCTATTTCCTATACGGATGTGGTTCCAATCAACATGGACAAATACGACAACATACGACGACAACACAAAAACCTCCGGATCAAGATATTCCGCAACTCTTGGAAAGTGTTCTTTGTACCACCATCCAATCATCAACAACCAACAACAACAATACTAAAAAGGACAAATCACCGGTAGTAGATCCACCCCAACAATTACTGGCGGGAGGAGGACATTCCGGGTTGATCACGGCACGTGGGAAACTATTCTTGTGGGGTTGGAACGAACAGGGACAATGTGGCAGCAACACCAATCATCATCATCATGACAATAATAAAAAGTGCCCACTGCCAGTCAGAGAATGTCCCGATATGCTCGTCAAACACGCTGCGTTGGGATTTTCGCACACGCTCGCCATTGAACGGGTGACCCGCAAACTCTACGCATGGGGAGATAACACGTATGGACAATGCGGTCCTCAAAAGGACAAGCAATCTGTCATGGAAATGCAACCCACATGCATCCATCCCGACGACCGGTTCATTGCCGTGGCGGCCGGTGTCTTTCATTCGGCCGCTATAACCACACAGGGTGCATTGGTCACGTGGGGAAATGGCAAACACGGACAATGTCTTGACAACAACAACAACAAAAACTGGAGTCCACCGGATGGCAGCAAATTAGTCCGCGTCGTGTGTGGGAGGCATCATACGGCCGTGGTGGATGATCGAGGCCGTGTCTGGACACTCGGTGACAACAAATACGGACAACTTGGGCGGAATGTCATCCAAAATGGAGAGCACGCCAAATCCAAACCACGAGATTCCGTCCCGTCACTGGTGGATGGACCACTGGGTTCCGACCACGATCATCGTCATCGGGTCGTCCAACTCGAAAGCGGTTGGTCTCATCTCGTGGCACGGGTCCAAGTTGCGGATGCTAGTACAACAGCAGCGTCCGTCGTCTATGGTTGGGGTCGCAGTGACAAAGGACAGTTAGGTGTCGCCGCCCCAACGAATGTCCTTTCGCCGCATCGACTCGAAACGTCGTCGCATATACAACAAGTCGCTTGTGGATCCGAGTCCACGTACCTGTTGGCAGAGGATGGGAGCATTCACAGTTGCGGATGGAACGAACACGGAAATCTGGGGATTGCCTCTACTTCTCCTGCAACGAATCCAAACAAAAACGACGACGACGACGAGGAGGAGGAGACTGCTCCAGACAACAACAACAAAAACGACGACGAGGAAGATCAGGTCACACTCATCACACCCAGGGGCAGTTTCGTGTTTTTCGAGGACGGGAGCATGAGTGAGCTCGGACAGAATCATAATCTTGCGGAAAAGAATGCGGATGACCAAGAAAACGTCACGAGGATCACGCCCCTGGAGGGAACGGAGCGCATCGTATGTCCTCCTACTTACGAGTCGTCGAAGGACAAGAGCCAGCTGTTGATGGCAGCAGGAGGGGCTCATTTTCTAGTCATGAAAACGTAGCTTGCTTGTACTGCAGTACTGGTACCGTAAATTTTTGAGCCCATTAGAATCGAATCGTACCGCACGGGCAGATTGCAGCAGGTTCGTTTTTATTGCTACTCGCAATGACTTAGCTCCTCGTCTATTGGTACCGGTGCGGTCAATCGAGGACAACTTCATGTGGACAGATAGACTTTGCACCCCCCCAACGTTGGATCGGCTCCACCGGAGCCAACCAAGGGAAAAATCCTCCAGATTTGTGAACCACCTCTCCCCAAGAACACGGGCGTCGTCGACAGCGTTGTTCTGAAGGCCATTACCTCCTTTTTCACCGTCAAGCGGAACGGTTTTGTTGGCGGGACAGCACTTACGGGTGACGACCACCATGGCCATTATGGGATGGGATTGGGTGCGTGGTATTGCTTGGGCCAATGGCAAAACAACCATCTACGTATAGAACAATCGATTGCCTATGAAGTTCGTGGTAACGTTAGTAAATTGTCCTCTATTTAAAAAAATATTGTGTAGCAGAAAGAGATGTCAGGAGACATCTCCATTGTCACCCCCTTTTGGAAGTCGCTCTTGTAGTTGCTTCCTTCAGTCCCTCGCTCGATCTCCGGCTCTTAACTTCGATCGATCCTTTTTCATGTAAGTTTTGGTGTGATGCTAGGGGGAACTGGGTGGTATTCACCCGGGATGTCTCCTTGGGTGGAAACTCCATGTTCCACCCACGTGGCTTCCAAATCACGAATGTTGATGGGTTTGGGCAAGACACAATTCGCTCCATGGGCCTTGAAATACAGAATGTCTTCGGGAAGTAGATTGCCCGTTACACCAACACAAAAGGCACTACAGCCCAATTCGCGCATTTGTCTGCACGCTTCTGGTCCCTTCATGACTGGCATTTCATAATCGAGCAGGACAACATCGTAGGGAGTGCCTTCGTCCATGGCTGCCTTCATGAGTTCCACAGCCACTTGGCCATTTTCGGCTTGACCACAAGTGTGCCCTTTTCCGACTAGTAATCGTACCAACAATTTCCGGTTCATATCGGTATCGTCGACGACCAGAATTTTGAAGGCTTCCAGTGTATCCTCGGAGCTATCGGGTCCCTCCCGCTCTTCAAAAGCACTCTTTAGGTTGTCGGGAAGCGTACAAACTGGAGCGTGATACAGTGGTAGAATCATGGTGAAGGTGGATCCATGTCCATGACCCTCGGAAGACACCATCAGTTGTCCTCCATGTTGCTCTGCAATGCCCTTGGCAATGAACAATCCCAAACTGATCGATAGATAGAGACGGCGAAGCAAGCAAATATGATATGAGGTACACGAGCGAAGCAAGTTAGTTTTGAAGCAAGAAAGACAAGGACGCTTGACTCACCCACTGCCTTGCCCTGCTTGCAATTTATTGACATTGAATTGCACCCCTTCGCCAAAGACGGTGCTAACTTCTTGTGGACTCATCCCCGCGCCACTGTCTTGCACATCGACCTGAAGGTATCCACTTGGCGGAAACTCGACCACGTCCCCCCGCTCCAATGCAAACTCGACCTTTTTCTTGGTGGCATCCGGCAGGACATCGGACCGTTGCTGCCAGGATACACGAACTGTAATGTTGCCTACGGTAGATAGAAGACAGACAAGATCGATGTAAGCACAAACTTGTATGACGAATGACATTCCGTACTTGATTTCATCCTTGCATTGCATTGCATGGTGTTACGGTACGTACCTTTCTCGGGTGTAAATTTGACGGCATTGGACAAAAAGTTGCGCAGCACTTGTGTGATCCGGACCCCGTCTCCCACGACAATTTGTTCTCGCACGTCGAGGGGCAAGTCCCTCGTGGAGGTTATCGTTCTAAAAGTTGCTTTTGAAGCCGACGTGTTGTTCTCTCCTCTCTCTAGCACATCACTGTCGTCGTTACATGCCGCCGTCTCTGTCTCTGTTGTTGTCATTGGCGGTGGCTGCTGTAAGAGTGCCGAATAGTCGACTTTGTAACATATTTGTTTGGCCAATGCGTATATTTTGAATTCCTCCGTGGTCCGCTGTATCAATGCCCAAATGGGCAACAGCGCCAGTTCCAGATGCAACGATTTGGTTTCTACCTTGTCGTAATTGAGCAAATCACTGAGTACATTGACGGCCGCCTTGGCATTGGCAATGACTTCCTGATTCAAACTGGACCAATCGGTCAGTTTGTCTTGCAAATCCTTCTTCTTGTTGTTGTTATTGTTGTTTTGGTTCTTTTGCTGCGTCTTTTGATACTGTGTCATTTCTTGTTGGAGTAAATCGGATCCCATACAAATGGTATTGAGTGGCGTTCGCACTTCGTGCGAGACAAATCGTACAAATCGTCGTTTCGCTTCTAGAATGGATTGTTTGCGATGAAATTCTTGTCGGACAAAGAAATCATAGAGAAAGAATAGAATGGCCGTAAAGAGGACGATACACACCGATCCAATGGCCGTGACCAATGGATTGGTGGTACTGTAAACCTCGAGGAATTCCGCGGAAGGATACAATGTGAGTGTGTAGGATGCCGACGTATATCCAAAGACTTCCTTGGACGTGAGTTCAATGGATTGTCCGTAGGTAGTGTAGCGAGGATCGTGCAAGTCTCCCATTCCTCTGTTGTGTTGAATGAATGTAAAGTGACGTGAGTGCAAGACCTTCAAAAGAAGAAGACGAAGAAAGAGTTGTGTTCGTTGTAAACTTACGTGACGGAAGAGATCCCCTGTTGAATGTGATAGGAAATGGCTTGTGTTTCTGTTTGTAGTACACAATCAATCCCATTGACTTCTCGACTATTGGTAAAGAGAGCCGCCATGGTTTCTTCCCATTCGTAAATGGTCATGACCAGCCCGACCACTTGTGTCGGATTATTCTTTGGATAAATGGGTTGTACGACCAATCCTCCTGGACTCTTGGGTTGTGCATTGGCATCGTATGTGACCATCATGTCTCCCAAAATGGCACATTCCGTCAATTGGTCTCTCATATTGATGATATGATCTTGTTCATCTTGTTCTTCATCAGTCTGATTATTCATATTCATGTGCAGATCATTACCATTGGCACACGTAATCATTTCCTCGACGGTTTTTCCAAATCGATCCATGGAATTGATATTCATGAGTAGAATTTCGTGTGTGGCACTGTGCATGAGAAACGGACAAAAGAGATTGTACTGATTGTCCCAGTCGTACTGCGCATTGGTTTCTCGATAGATTTGCAAGTCGGCATCAAATCCATGAACGCCTTGTGTCAAATTGCCATCGCCATTGAAATCGCGGAGTCCAATATGATCCGGATAGTCGTTGATTTGTGAAAAGGCGATATGGTAAGCGTAGTCTTCAAACGCTTCTAATTGATCGGGTGTGACAAAGGGACACAATCCCAGATGCTTGAGTGTCTTGTTGACGGCCGACACGTCCATGATCGACTTGGCAATGTCATCAAATCCCACCATGGAGACATTGGGCCATTGCGCCGCATCGGGGAATTGATACGACATGACCGCCGCCATGGCTTTGACGCCCAATCGTTTGCGGAGTGTAATTTGGAGCGCTTCTTCCAATGCCCGTGTCGCAATGGCATTGAACTGTTCGTGCGCCAATTGCGTTTCACTGTCCGTCAAGAGTCGATGCGCGCCAACACCCAACAAGATGCACACTACTAATAGGCACGTCAAGAAGACCAATCGACTCGCCATGACGCGTCGAGCCGCTCGTTCATCGCCATTCGAGTGCTGTCGCGTGCTGCTGCTGCTATAGATGCCCGAACTACCACTACCACCCGATGTACTACGGGTGCCGGACCGATTGTACGACGATGTCATGCTAGTTCGGAAGCTATTCATCATTGTGATTGATTGTGTTTGATTACTGTGTTGTGTCTTCTTCTGTCGATGTGGTCGTATCTATCTGTTGCTTGTACTTATAACTAGCTAGCTAGTAGAGAGAAGCCTAATAATACGAGAGCCGATAGATGCAGTGTGAGTGTGGCCATCGACCATCGAGTGCAGCAACAGGAAAAAGAAGGCTGCGTCCTGTTGGTAATAAGAGCACAAGGACCAACAAGAAAAAAGAGATTGAAGTTCAATGATCTCTGTGTCGTTTGGGGGGCAATTGATCATGCCAAGCAGTTGGCAACGTCGCGCAATTACTTAGCGATTTCTATACCTACGACTTTCTTCTTACGGAATGGCCTTGATACTTATTGGATTGATTGTTCTTCGGATACCCATGGACATAAGGGGACGGTCGAGGCAGCTGCAACGTGTCACTCAAAGCGCATGCTTCCACTGGCTTCCGTCCAGGTTATTATTAAAAAAGCTAGCTGGTAGAGCTGCTAAAGGTTCAATAACTAGCTAGATGTTTGCAATCGTTCGCTATCCCGATGCTGACACTTGACATTGCCGTTGCATGAAGCATCAATCAGGACCACAGTAGACATATGGTTCCATGTTGTTTGCCCCTGTGTTAGTACTAGTAGTACTGCTCTGGTTGGCATCTCCTTGGCCATTGCCACTGGTGTTGGCAGAGCAAGCAAACAAAACAAACTCCTCTGTCGCTCAGTTTCAATCTATAATTATTATTTGCACGAGACATTGAGCAAGTGTGTTCGTTGGAGCAGTTGTTGGCGGCAGATCATGATCATGATAATAATGCAACAACAACTTTGTCGTGTCAAGATGCCTGTGCTCCAACGTTCCATTGTTGCGATCCATATGAAAGTGGAAATAGCACCTGCTGGCAAGAGAATGCGGCAGGGTGTGTTTCCTACGCAAAATGTCATGCTTTGACGACTTCAACTGGAATGCTACATGATCCAGCTCACAGAGATTTGGATCGAATCTGCAGCAGCGCCAGCATTGAAATTAGACGCTCTGACTGTGAAGTAGCCTGTTCGGACGTCTCCTGTTGCTACCTGGAACACCAATCGTGTGTGGCCAGCAACTTTCAAGTGTGCATCGATTATGCCCCCTGTCAGAATCTCAAGGACGACTCCACCATTATCGAAGCGGCTCCCACTGATTTGGACGAGAGATGTGCACACCAATCATCACCAACTTGCGCACGAGAGATTGTCGGGCTGCTCTCTACTGCTGCTCGGACCCGCATTCTTCCTGCTATCGCCACAACTTTTTATCATGCCTGACCTATTTGCACTGTACTAATCACGGCAATCATTCTGATGATATTGATACAGATACATCATCATCCATCTCCATTGCTCCCCTCTACTCCAGAGTCAATCCGCCTCCCACCAATTTGGACGGGGTTTGTTCACCAACTGGAATTGCGGAACTTGGGATCCATAAATGCGCCTTGTTTTGTGCGCCCGCACGGTGTTGTTGGGAAGATGATGGGAGCTGTTTTGGAGAGGATCCTTTGGGGTGCTTGGAATACCAACGATGCAAGATATTGCTCGAACCTCAATACTACTCGGATGATTATTGGACGTTCCCACCCACTACTGTTCAACCATAGTAAGTAGACAAGAATGCCTTTTGAAAATCCTTTTGGCCAAGCTCTTTAATCCGCCAACCTCCAATGGTACCGCACAAGCATTGTGTTGCCCGATCTCGCTTGGCTTCAACAATCAGCCCATCAGAAATGAGACCAACAAGAAGCAAAGGGTGCAATCAATCTCGTCGTGAAATCTTTGATAGCTTGTGGCGTCTTCTCTCTCTCTCTCTGTCTGTCTGGCTCGAACAGATTTTGCAAAGTCAAACCACCCCAAACAACCTGCAGCTGCACATGTATGTAACAATCTAGCTAGTATTACTGTACTCCTCGTCTAGCTAGTTTACTGGTAATGATACCGTCCGGTATCCAAAGTCGTTGCCCGCTGCCGGGAAAAGAGGGTTCTGGAATCTGGAAGTAGTACTGTACCGTAACCCTCGAATTGAATTCACGTCCATGTACTCGACTGTCAATCTGTTCAATGAGTTTTTGTTTCCCAGATTTTAATACCGGTACGTCTCCAACAGGAACGATCTTCTGTCAATCGAATCGAATTGCTGGTTAGTTACTTATTCCATCATTCCTTGGTTACGCGTCCGCAAGGTAATCATGTAATGACATGTTCCTCGTCTGGATCATCGACAAAGCCTTGTCGTTGTTCAGTCGTCGTAGGCTGGTTGGTAGGTTGTTCCACAGGTGTGTATTGTTGATTTTGGCTAGTATTGTTGTCATACCGCAGATAGACATAGGCCAGAATTCCCGATTGACAGGTACAAAATCCGAGCACATTGAGGGTATCCAAATGTTCGGCAAAGAAAAAGATACCTCCTCCAATGGTAAGCAATTCCTTGAATACAGCAGCAACACTCAATGCCAAAGACGACGATGCCCGGACCAACCAATACTCGCTCATAATGAGACCAAAGACCATGGTGGCAATACAGACTAACACAGTAGCAATGAGGACTCCTTCTGTAATGTCGGTAAATGTGTGTTCGGCAATGGCCTTGTGTTCGAGGAAAAAGGCAAAGGGCATGACACAGAGCGCCGTGGTGGGGGATGTGTAGAGTGTGGCTGTCAGTGGGGATAACTTTGGTTGTTGATCTTCTTGTGAATTGGAATTGCCCTTTAGCAACCGGTGTGTCATGGCCCATCGGAATCCCGACAATGCCGTGGAGAACAATTGGAGACAAAATCCCAGTAGTAAAAATTCCTGTCCTTCTCCCAAGGATGCCAGTGCAATTCCCACGGCAATGGTAAGTAACGCCATGAAAACAGAACAGGAAAACGGTTCCAATCCAAACACCAATCCCCAACCAAATGTAAAGACGGGAGCACTCCCTTTCAAGATGGTACCAAAGGAGACACTAAGAATTTTCAAGGCCACATTGGAACATCCAATTTCCAAGGCAATGCACACTCCAATGGGGACAATGAACGACCAAAACAACTGCCGGGTTACTACTTCACTGTTTTCACCATGTGAGGACTTGGAAACCCGTACGCCCACAGCGTGGCAATGGAATTGGAACACATGGTCACTGTCAAGGGAAATGGAAAATGATTCGTAAATAACCATTTGGTTGATAAAATTGTTGCATTGGACAGAAAATACCAAATCAAGATTGTAATGGTTGTGCGGCACAGAGAATTACTACTACTAGTACTAGTAGCATTGCTAGTAGAAGCATTGCTAGTAGAAGTACCTGGTGCAACCTCAATAGAATCATCCACATTCAAAGTGCTGACATGCAAAGTAGTGGACTCGTCTACTTCTGATTCCACAGGAATTGCACTTGTTGTACTACTAGTAGTCACAGTAGCTGTAGCAATAGAGCTTGTGGCAACACCGTCAGCATCACGGTGTGTACATGTATTATTAATAGAAGAGCTCATCGTCATCGTGTATCATACAGTTGGCATTGTGCCATGGCGGTGCATGGTGTTGGTGAGACAGAACCACTGGGGAAAGTGTGGGTCTTGGTTGTAAACAGTCCACGATCGATTCCACGGTCAGGTCCAAGGAAGCGTGTGATGGAATTGAAAGAATTGAATTACACTCTTCACTCACACTTTAAGATAAGTGGGTTTAAGATACCGAGCACTCACCTTTTTAGAAATGTTAAGATAGTCTAACCAAGACACTCAGATTTCCCAAACTAGTAAGATACAGTAAGCTACGAGTCCCAATATTGTCTCAAATCCTAAGCTAATCCTAAGCTAATACTACTACAGCTAATACCCACTATCTTGCACATCACCATCTGCATCCAATCCCCATCTTGGGGTGCCGCCTCTACAACCACATCTTTGGTAACTTCATCAATTTTAAATTTTGGCTTTGAACCTTTGCCTTCTTGGGGTTTTGCTGGTGGCTCCTCACTGTCTGAGGGCATGATTAGTACATGTATGATAGTATGTGACAATAGCTAGTTCCTAGTGGCTATAATATATAAGAGATACACACTGAGATTGGGGATTCAAGATACCTCCAATACCGGTACTGGACTCATATTACATGTAGAGTAACTTATCTATGAGGTACGAGTGTATTCTTGACCAAAGGAGCGAGCGGAAGGATGCCGGACGACTCCCACGTACCGTACGGAACCAAGATCGATGACAGGCAGTCCTTTACTTTACCAGCCGCACTCATATTATCGTCCACAATAAAAAAGCAAGTGCGAGATCGGGACATCAACTCTTTGATTGATTGCGCATACAGCACGTACAGTACCCGCGCTGCACTCAAAGTGACATCGTCATGTCTACCACTACATCTGCTGGCGGTGTTGCCCCAGTGGGAAGCAAACCAAATTACATTTGGGATTTGGAAGGTCCCGAGATTGATCTTTGGCTCCGTTCTGTTAAATCTCTCTATCCAGGTCCATGTGAGTTACTAGTAGAACTGAACTTGACTTAACTGAACTGAGTCGATTCGATGTGATTGACTTGTTTCTCACCTTCCTCTCTTGGTATGCTGTGTATCTTTTGATAGCCGTGGAACCATCTCCCGAAGATTTGGCCAAACGGCAGTTCATTCCGCTACTGTGGAAGAATTTGGAGCATGCGCTTGGCGACATGAAGGCCGAAGCGGTACGATCCTCCGATAGCAATAGCAATAGCAATAGCCATCATGGCCCTGACAACACGACAAGTTCCTCCGCCGGTGGTCCTCCTGCCAAAAAGCGCGCCAAAAAAGACCGACTGTTGGGTTACAAATTGCACGATCCTTGTAAGATTTGGATCCATATTAAAGAGTTCGAGTCCATGGACGACAATAATAATAATAATAAAGATCCAGACGGCAAGAAGAATAATCAGAAAATGATTCTGTTGCCAGAAGCGGTGCCGACTGTCATGGGAGCCAAATTGGCCGAGTTGTCCGTCGCGGGAATCATCAATGGATTTGCATCCGTAAATGGAGGATTCGTCGACAAACACTTGAAACCAGTTGGCGCCACAGAAATTGAATTATCTTCGGTTGGTAAATGCACGGTCGTGCAGCTCAAATCGTGGGCGGTAACACTGCATCAGTCGGTACAAAATAGACTCGAAAAGGATGTATTGGACACCACACCGCAACGCATTGCCAGCATGATGTGCCCCGACTTGTCACTCAGTGAATTCAAAGCGGTCCGAAGACGTATTTATGACACGGTCATTCTGGGCAAGGGGCTCAAAGTGGAAGAAGTACAAGATATTCCCGTCGCAACCACGTCACAATCGGTTCATGACATTGAAAAGGTATGTACATGGTACTGTACTGTACGATCTGCTTCTGAGTGATTGATGATATCCCTCCAATTATTTGTGATTCTCATCGATTACATTACAATCATTTAGTTCAAAAAATGCAAAGTCTGCGGCAACAACGACCAATCATCCTTTATCTTGGATCGAAAGAATGGCGATGTCATTTGTAGCAATTGCGGGACGGTCGTCGCAGAGAGTGTCATGCACGAGGGATCACAGTTTCGAAAATTCGAAGGAGAAGTCGATCGGAACCATCATGGAGATGCGGCCAATCCACTACTGAGTACGTCCTATAACATGAGTACCACGTTGGGCGGCGTACAGGTTACCAGTGGAGCCGGGCTGGGAGGCTTTGGATCCAACCAGAACAAGAGAGGACTGGAAACCATTCTGCGAAACGCACATGCGTTTACAGGTACGTGTAGCAATGCAGCAAGCAATACAGCAATCAATCTATCTATCAATCTGTCCACCCTGTGGATGGAATGGAATGGAATGAAAACAACACTGGATGCTGCTAATGAATGTAAAAACATACATGTGTCGTCGTTTCGTTCGCAGAATTGAATGTCAGCAGCCTTGGAAACAGCAAGGATGCGCAAGGTAGGACTCGTGTGGGATACAAGGATAAACAAAAGAAACAGGCGTTTGTGCAGATGAATCATGTTGGAGATGCCTTGAATCTGCACGAGGCAGTCGTGCAGCGCGCCAAAGAGATCTTTGCTGGGTTTCGTGATGATCGGGAGTTGTTGCATCAACTCAAGGCGGTCATTGCAGCCTGTCTTTGTGAGTCGTTTGACCAACTCTCACAAGACGGAAGGAAAATATTGCAGCAGCAGGAGACGGGGACGGTGGAAGCAGAGGAAATATCAGAGAAAGAAAAGGCAGCAGCGAGCGTCGCGAATGCCAAAAAGGCGGCGATTGCCAAGAGCATTTCCACCAATCGGCGGGCTGTGAAACGCGCCAATTTACACAACGCCAGTATGGCAGGCAAGGGTGGACTGTTCCTCGACTTTTCGGATGTAGAAGAAAAGACGAAGATCAAGACCGAAGACGGGGCTGGTGCTGCTACTCCAGCTTCGACCTCTCCAACAACCAACAGTCGTTTCGAGCTCAAAAGTGCATCCACTTGGGATTTGGAGGACTGCAGAAGTTGGCTACTCGACGCCTCAAGGTAAGCAATTAATTGCACGAGAACTGTTTCTTACTTTGATGTTTTCCCATGGGATTCTTACTGAAAGACTCGACTCGACTCGACTCGAACTCGGGTTGCCTTATGAAGATCCATTGCTCAAACCTGGGTTGACGAGCGCGACGGACTAACAGCCGACAATCAAAGCACGAATGGGAGCAAGGCTGGGGGACCGGCTGCCAAAAGGAGGTATCCCAAGGGCAGTCGTGATGAGCTGGAAGGAAAGCTTGTGGAAGATGCGATTACCCTCGTCGAGTTTTTGGAATCCCAGTTGAAAAAGAACGAAACCAAGGGAGGAGCGGGAGGAAAGCGAGTTATCACACCTCGTGTAACCGACATGTCCAAGCTTGGAATTCGCTGGCAGCATGCACACGAGCGAGGATCCGGCGGAAAAGGTGGCGTCGGAAACAGTGGCAACATGAAGAAGCGTGCTAATGCAACCGCTCTGAAGTCTCGAAAGGCAGGCCAGATCCTTATTCTTCAAGCTGCCAAAAAACTAGGTGAAATTCTGAAGGATCCATTGGCCGGTGAATATTTCCACAAAGAATTGCGTGCCTTGGTGGGTCGCCAAAAGGCTCGTAAGGACAAGGATTTGCGCGACGAGGCGTCACGACAACGGTTGATCCAGATGAAACGAAAGCCCTGGCTGCAAGCCAAAGTGACCGGAGACGTCTCCTAGGTAGCGGCTCCGTTCGATTGAATGATTCTATTCAATCATCTCACCATTTGAATACTTTGAGGGCGATTGAATCAATCATTCATTTACGGTATTTGTTCGGTGAAACAGGAATCACTATGATTAGCTAGTAGGACTTATTATAAAGATTCGATAGGAGATGTTCTCCATCGGATGGTGATGGATACATGCATGCGTCTGATCGATTAGTCTAGCCAGATCATCTAGTCGCTAGATCTTGAGGTAAATGTCCCATCGGTTTGTAGATCCGCAAACTGACTGTGTTCCCCCGAGCGTGGGAGCATTGAGAGGCCGTTTCACGACCACCTTGACAATGGCTTGCTGAAACCTCCATTTCTTCTTGTTTCGCGGGCTTCCTCGAGTAGAGTGGTGTCATTGCATGCCTGGAACACCCACGATAAAAGTCTTAAATCACTGTAGTCAAGCCTTCTAAGTCATATGGCCTAACTCTAGTCGTGATTGTCGGAATTTTGAAACCACGATGTCGGAGTTGTACGAGAATGTCGCGTTTGTAGAGAATGTCTGCTTTGTCGGAAAATGTCGGCAATGTCGGAAGGTTTCCAGACATTTCAGCGAGAATTTTCCGACATTTAAAACGGATGACTTTCGCTGTTTAAGTCGTGTTCTTCACTGGTTGGTACTTTCTCTTTGATAGAACCATACAATTCGGAACCCTGTTAACTCATTCAACGGTCCTCTAATCGTAAATGTCGGATTTAACTCGCCAAAATGTCGGCAAAATGTCGGCAGAATGTCGGAATAATGTCTGAGAGATGTCGGCTTTGTACGAGAATGTCGGTGTTTGTACGAGAATGTCTGCATTTGTCGGAAAATGTCGGGACATTGTCGGGAAACTTTCTTCCGTCATTTAGGCCATATGATTTAAAGGCTATGCCGGTCATATATCTTTTTAAAAGACTTTATCGAGAGTGTTCCTGGGTTCTCGTCAAGGGACTCAAAGAGCCCATGTAGTATCTGTATTCCCTTTTCACTGCAGCCGTTTTACTCCTTGGGGCAACATTGGATGGAGACATAGTACAATATCTGGGTACGTGATTTGTCCCTCACAAATTTTCACTTAGGCTAAGCTAAGTGCTGAAAATCCACTTAGGCTAAGTAACACTTGCCTAAGCAATACACTAGCTAACTTAGGCTAACCATACAAAGCAACTCACTTAGGCTAAGCGAAACACTTAGGCTAAGTGATGCTCTCCAAGGCATCTTCTCAACAGCACACAGTTCAGCACAACATCGCATGCTGCTTGCTGTAAACAAAGCGCAAACACAAGTTCCAATACAACCATCACCCACCATATCCTCCGCCTTATGCAAGGCTTCCTGCGAACTGCTCAAGGAACTTCACAAGAAAGAGTTCAATTGGGCTGAGACTGAGATTTAGATCCAGGTTGCGACTTCCCTGGAGGATGGTATCATCCATACATGGCAGCATACTGCAATACACGGCTTAGCCTATTCGCACTCGATCCTAGATAGGGTTTAGTTCGACTCATGAACTGAGTCTCTCGTGAATAGTCATTGAGACAGGTTCTCAATGACCGCTCTAAGTCATACTAGGTGATGATGAAAACATCGCTCTAGATATTAGCCAGCGTGGAGTACTTCCACGCTACTAGATAAATGCTAGACGAATCTTCCACGCGTTCCGTTTTGGATCGTGGAGTGAGTAGGATTGCTACCGCAACCTACTCTATCACACTCAACAGTCTCCCGCGGGAGTCAGATCTACGATCCTTTGATTTGGATCTCTCTCGTTGATTAGTTTTCATAGTTTCTAATCCTCTCATAACTTTCATTCTCTCAAACTCAAAACACTCGAAAGATCTTTACACTAGCTTTAGCGTAGTGCATTTGTTAACAAACACAATAGCTTTCAGCTACCCCAACCTATTCCTCACCATGAAATTGCCAAAGACGCATACACAGCTTCGAGTCTAAGCTGCGCACAAACCAATCCTTCCTCTCATCGACCTCGACGATGAATGCGAAATCGACGATTCCGCTCTACCCACCTACAAACTTCGCACTGTTCCAGCAGATGCTAACAGCGCCAAGTACACCTTCAAGTCCAAATCATCAATGGATCTGAGACTCCACGTCAGACCATCAAGTGGGCTGGACGCATGAGAAGGTCTTCGTTGGGCTGCCATTGCTACGCCTACCGCAAAACATAACCTCCTCAAGGAGATGACTTCTAGCTCTGCAAAGAGCAGTTACGAATCTATGCTGTGCAGGCCACCGTGAAGTACGTTGGAATGCCTTCGCCAGATTGCAGTCAACGGCATTCCTCCAGCGACATACGTGGCGGTGAAAGACGAAGCCACTTTCCAAGCACGTTTCCAGTGCCTGGACGGAGCAGCTCAGCCTGCTTTGGACGATGCTGACATTACGTTTGGCATAAATGCCTGTATCGAAGCGGTCTGTCCCTACAAGGCTCTTGAAAGGCAGAAACGCTTCATGCGCCGCAAGATGGCGTAAGCCTGCTGATATGTCTACTCTGGCTTATTTCAACAACCTCAGTCGGATAACCCATGAACTTCCTCGCTACCACCTTTTGGACCCAACCAAACTTGAACATGACGAAGTCATTGACATTGTTGTCATGGAATCAACGCTCGTGATGAAGAAGATGGACGAACACGACTTCGATCCTTTCTCAGCTCCTATCGGAGAAACCATTGGATTCTGCGAACGCATGGAATCCTCCGAAGATTTGACAAGGCGGTGATGCCAAGCAAGCTCCTACGAAGAAGAACAACAGCAAAGAAGTACAAGTCTATCGTAACAGACCACTCTCCAAGAACGAAAGAAAAATGGTGCGACTACCACGAGTCCAGCAGTACACAACACTGCTGACTGAATGACCTGAAGAAGCTCAAGGCCAAGTCTCAGTCCTCGTCTGACAACGATAACAAGCCAACGTACAACAAGAACAAGACTTGGAAACGCAAGTCCGACGACGCCAAGACCTACACCAAGAAGGAACTCTCTGTCCTCATGAAGAAGGTTTCCAACGCTGCGGTCAAGGCTGATGAAGAAGAAAAGCGAATGAACCATGTTGCCAAGCGCAGTAGACAACTCCGACAACGAAACGACTCCTCTGTTGGATCCATCAACATGATGGACAAGAAAATGCTGCAGTCGACAAGGCGCTTGCCGAATTCGACTTCAATCATTCGAGGGAGAATCTCCGTCTGAGGATTAGGCCAGGATGAGATTTAACGGAACCATGTTCCGATTTCTCAATAACTAAGTGATGAAGATACCACTAAATAGTAAACAAGATTTGTTTTCAACTAAGAAGTCTACTGGAAATTAGATAATTGCCTGAAACTACTCAACTAGACAATACACGATCTTTCAGCATCGTTAACTTCGTCCATGGCCAATCACTCATAACGTCGCAAGACAAGAGACCTCAAACTATCGTTATGTTAGATTTAACAGACGAGAGAAAGGAAACAAAAACCCGTTACACTCTTTTTGCTTACTGGATACAGGAGCATCCGGAATTTTAATTGATCAACTCATGCTAAGAGTTACTCATGAAGAATCTGGGGGCGTCCAACATTACGGACTGCTTCTATGAAGGAATGAAACCCGCACTAAGTGTAAGGGCACACTCGTGATTCCTGAGTTCCAGATAATAGAATTATCAATGGAATTTGCACGTCACCAAGAACTGGGGGCGCAGTACATGATCATAGGTCAAGACACCCTTCGACCTAAGAATCAAGTTTGATTTCACTACCATGTCATTGGTGGAACAGCGTATTTATCCCTGCGAAAGATGCGATACCGATAGAAAGGAAAACTTCTCATTCCCGATCCTGCAGCTGTCAACAATGAAATATCAAAAATTCTTGATACGACATACAGAACAAGCAGACTTAAGGCAGATGTGCCAGGTCGAAACCAGTTAATATAAGGAAGAGCAAGAACTGCCTCATGCATTTTCAACCAAGTGCTTCGGCCCAGTCGAGGATACCTTGGGAGAGTTGCGAATGGACGACTACGAAGTAGAACTTCGTCCCGACGCTAAAACCTATTATACTAGGGCTCACCCTACTCCACGGACCATACCAACACCTTAAGAGGAGGTGAACGTCTCTGCGAGGCAGGAATACTCAAGAAGGTGAATCGTTACCAGTGGGCAGCACCAACTTTATCATTCCAAGAAAGGGATCTGCAGATTCATCTCTGATTTCCGGGACAACAAAAGGATAAGCGAAGCTTTATCCTATCCAAAAATATCAGACATGCTCTTGAATTAGATCGGATTCAAGTCGCTACTAGTCTAGACCTGAACACGGACAATACCACATCGAGTGTCACTCACCGAAGCAACATGCACATTGCACTCCCGAGGGGAAAGCACGAGTACCAAAGGTTGCCAAAGGGCCTAAATGTAATAGTCCCGACATCTTCCAAGAAGATGAAAAACACGCATGCATGACTTAGAAAAATGTCCGTGCATACATTGTAGATCAACTCATCCAACGGACGTCGATCCAGCGGATCGCGTTGAATAGATTAGATGACATTTTCCAAAAACTTCAAAAAGTCGGATTAAAATCAACATTACCAGGCCTTCCTCGATGGAAGAACTGGAGTATCTGACAATTGGACTACTCGAAAGGAATCCAAACCCTAACTAAAAAGATAATAGATGCGATCCAACTATCGCTCTTTACTACCAACAGAAGGCAACTTCGTGGATTCATGTGTACCAATGAACTACCAAAGTGCTGCTCCAAGACAGCAGCGGAGTAACCACTCGTTCTGAACAGACGTGGGTTACCCAGTATCCATGACCCGTTTCATGGACAGAGAACGTGAGTCCCGCGCAGAGGTCGAGAAGACTCTCCGGGATGAACGTGGACTTCGTCGCAAGTTCAAGCGCGTCAATCGTGACAGATTCACCACATCCGTTTCAAAGTAAACCGGACATACACTAATGGAACGTCGCCAACTGACTTATCCAGAAAAACACCGATGAGGAGAACACGACACGTGTCCCTCATCAACACCATGTCAACGATACTATGAATGATTCATCAGTATCAGAACCGTAGTAACGGTCAGCAAAGGTCCTTACACACAGACCGAGTCAATAACAATACGGCACTGTACGGCTCCGACATACTACCGCCAGTTAGCTGCACAGTCTACACAGATCTAGTTGAACATAAGGTATTTACAACCCTACAAGGCCTGAAT